TCACTCTTAACGATTGATTCATTGAGTTCTATCCTATGAGAGTTCTTGACAGACTCCCAGCGCGCATTCAGGTCCGTAAGTTCAGCCACAGCGTCCCCCAGTTTGGAATTAGACAGGGACAGATCACCACAAACAGAATTAAATTTGATAACAACATTACTCGCTGAGTTAACAAATTCTTGACAGTTACTAATTTCACAATTAGCCAGTATTTTACTTAACTGTAGACAAAAATCAGATATAAGATGTTCATTTTCTTCAGAGAAATTAGTACACCCAAATAAAAAATCTTCAAAATTGTCCATTGCATATAAATAGAACAATATACAAATATCAGATGCAGTCCAAAAGTTCACTCGTGCCAAATATGCCAAAACATTTATAATATGAAACAATGATTTATTTCAATAGTCAAATATTTTACAAATTAAGGCCTACCAATAAGTCGTGCCATGCATATATATACAGCGCCAGCATGTCTTGAACGCAGGCACAACTCAGGTGCGTGTAGAAGTTGCGTTCCCGGAGATGCAGGCGCAGCAAAAATCCAGTAGCCAGCAATCAGTGCAACTGCGGCCGACACAGCGGTGGGAATATGTCAGGGAAAACTTCCCGGCGGCGAACAACCTGGATGTAGTTGCGCGTCGGCCGATGCGCAGACGTAGAGAACACGAGATCACAGCTCACACTCAGTCTAATTGTAGAATTTTACGAGCAGTGGTTCAACAATAATAAAGCTACTTACAACGTCGTCCATACATCAATGTAAACGGCAATCTTCATAGAAAACAAACATAACCAATAAAATTTGAGTAACACTCTATGAACTTAAAAATTGTAAAGTTCAAAATCCACAAGTAAAGAACTCTGCCACACAATGCAAGCCAGGCTTGCCATTCCAGTATAAAATGTAAAGAAGAAAATTACTTGTGTTAGATTTTGTGTTTTCATAGTATGTTTTATTAGTATTAGTTATTTTTCTAAAATGCCTTGAAGAGATTGTGCATGTAATGAAAATAATAGGGTTCATAATGCAAATAATAAGGCTATGATGAGAAATAATTGTTTTCAACATTACCAACTGAAACAGGATGTTCAAAAAAGGTGGGAGATACATTTTACCTAGTGATTCCTTGGGTCAAAATAAAGAGAAAATCAAGAATAACATTTTTTCCAAAATCGCTTCGTTAACCAGATAGCCTATCCACCATTTTTTATTTTTTACATAAACATTTTTATCTTTTAATATTTTCAACCGATCTTCATAAAATTTGGTATGTAGGTATGTTAAGGTAGAAGAGACCTGTGTTAGAAAAAAAGTTCATCTCGATTCAACCTAAAATTTCAAAATGGCGGCCATTTAAAATGCTGGCTTTATGAAAAAATGCCAAGGACACTTTTATTTAGCATTTTTAATTATCTATCAAACGATACCATGTTAAAAAATATCAAATAATAAATATCTGAAATATTATGATTTTTAGTCGTAAAATGGGGTAGAATAAGGCAGAATCTAGTCAGGTTTGTCCAATTTTACAACTAAAAATCGTAATATTTCAGCTATTTCTCATTTGATCTTTTTCCCAAATTCAGTCACGACTAATAGTATCGGAAGAAGGTAATCTAAAGGACATGTTTCGCCTTTTTTAGAGTGGGTTATTAAGACTCTTATATCTCATTTTAGCAAATTTCTTGAATAGGGAATAGGCCTAAGTTCCCAACCGTAGGTCTCAAGGTAGAGAGCTGGACCCGGGACCAATTTATTTTTTTGTTTTGAGGACCCTAGAGACCAAAAACTCCATCCGTTCAAATTCACATATGTTTCTGTTAGCAACTGGAGGAAAAATGAACCCATTTTAGAATGAAATTTGGTACAAACATGTAAACCTACGTTCAGGGCCGCGTTAAGGGTCAGTGGAGCCCTGGGCAAAACCAATAGCAGCGCCCCCCCCCCTTTTTTCATAGTGTGGGCGGGCGGTGGTTGGGAACCCCCAAACCTCCGGCGCCCCTGGGCATATGCCCAGTCTGCCCATTATAAAAGTGGGTCTGCCTACGTTTATTCAAAAATGTGTTTGCAAACCAGCATGATCGGACAGCGAGAACAGGGTACTAGGGGAATTTAAAGGGGTAAAAATTTATTTTTTCTATTTTTGACTTTAAAAACATAAATTTTGCATTTTTATTGTAGTTTATTTTATAGCTAGCTTTAAAAAACAAATATACTAAATATTGAAATTGAAACTTCCTTAACACGTTCGCTACCACAATAGTACTAAATTTTTTATTCACATGGACCAGTGTCTAATGAAGTGATTAAGAAGGCCAAGGTTTGGTATCAAAATATAGGAAAAAAACACCAAACACCAAGAAGGGTACTCGGTGACATGAGGGAAAAGTACTGAGGGAAAGCACCAAGAAAAGGTACTCAGAGACCAGAGGGAAAAGTACTGAGGGAAAGTGCTGGGGGAAAAGGGCGCAGGACTTTTGCTGGGTACTGGGTACCTTCCCCCACTCTCAAAGCACTTTCTGGCCCTATATAAGGAGCATCCTAGGGGGGCTTCGTCAGTTGGGCCTCCGGGCCCGCCCCTGCCGGCCACCGGTGGGTCCCTTCCCCGCACTAGAGGCGTGTTGAGCTCGGTGCTTCCCGTTCCCCAGCACTAGAGGCGTGTTGAGCTCGGTGCTTCCCGTTCCCCAGCACTAGAGGCGTGTTGAGCTCGGTGCATCCCGTTCCCCAGCACTAGAGGCGTGTTGAGCTGGCTGCTTCCCGTCCCCGCACTAGAGGCGTGTTGAGCTCGGTGCTTTCCGTTCCCGTACTAGAGGCGTCTTGAGCCCGGTACATTCCGTTTCTGTACTAGAGGTGTGTTGAGCCCGGTACATTCCGTTCCGGCACTAGAGGCGTGTTGAGCCCAGTGCAGCTGGTTGGCGTGTTGAGTCCCAGCATCCGTTTTAATTCAGTTTAAGTCCCTGGTGGCCAATGGAGCTGCCTCCCGGGACCATGAATCCGTCTGGAGGGGGATGAAGAGGCCCACCTCCACTATTTAAGAAGAGTGCCGTCCAGGAGAGAGGGCAGTCTACATCCGTCAGCGTTACTGGCGACATCGCGAAGAGCTGCTACGCTTGGGACAGCGATCCGCCCAGCACTTCTCGGGCAGTCCGCATCCGACAGTGGGACAGGCGACCTCGTAAGGAGCTGCTGCGTTTGAGCTCTGGTTGGTGAGCCGCCCAGCACTTCTTGAGACAGATGAGTCGACGTCCGACAGCGAGACTGGTGGCATCGTGTGGAGCTGCTGCGTTTGGGCTCTGGTTGGTGAGCCGCCCAGCACTTCCCGATACGGAGCCAGTTAGAGGACTGCAGGAGCTGAGAGGAGAGGAGTGCAGGAGCCGAGAGAAGGAGAGGACTGCAGGAGCCGAGAGAAGGAGAGGACTGCAGGGGCCGAGAGAAGGAGTCTGCAAGAGCCGTCCGTGCTGACAGGACTTCCACAGACTGGGCTTTGTCAAGAGATATAAAGATAAACTGTAAATATTGTATATAGATTCTAGAATTAATCTTGAGATAATAAATTATGTATTATCCATGCAAGTGTTCAGTCAATCTGAGTCCTGAAAAACCCTGAAAAGGTCTGATAGCTGTACAAAGATAAAAACCTGAGAAAGTACGTTACAAGTGACACACACATGCAACAGCCAGTTTCTACCCATAGATTGCCACCGCATCCCTACATGCGACGGTTGGTCACATTAAAATAAGTTAGACTGACGTTGCATATTTGCGCCAGTATTACTTGAATACTTGAAGGCTTCGTCTCTGACCAGAATCCCAGATAGACTGTAAGAAACTAACTTAATTTAGGCTATAAATGTTAATATAAATGTCTGTCGTGTATGTGCGTCACATGGTCTGTGGATATGATGATTAGTGAGGTCATAAGATAGTTTGCAAAATTGTTTATAGGCTACTTTGCTTCAAACTGCAAAATTTTTTTACTTGCATAGGCCTACTGTTGACCAAGTGACACCTGGTTTATGTGTAATGGTATAATGTAACTCAGAATGTGGCAATGACCACATCGTCGCATAAGTGCGGTGATCGGTAGCGAACATAACTGGTAACTTAATTCTGAGCAATTACTTGGTCAACCCCAAACTTTTTCATATTTTACTACGGTCATAAGGATGTTCTCAGAAAAACAAGGAACATATTAATTCAAGCCCCGCAAGGTTAGGTTAGGTATTATATGTTAACCTAACATAACGGGCGCGTCTCCCGGAAGCCACTGTTATCACGTGGACTTTGAACCTTCTTATCGCTCGGCAACCTGTAAGATATTTTTGTTGAGCCTTGCAGGGCTCGAATTATATGTTTCTTGTTTTCTGAGAACATCCTTATGACTGTAGTAAAATATGAAAAAGTTTGAGGTTGACCAAGTAATTGCTCAGAATTAATAACATGTTAAGTTTAACTTAGTACTTAGGCTATGCAGGTTTGCTGCAGCAGGGTAACTTATTTATTTGTGAAATTGGTCCCGTCAGACTAGTGGTAAGATAGTGACTACACTATTAAAAAGTTTACTGTAGGCCTATATGCAAAAAATCAATTAAGCCTTAGTTAATATAGAGACATTAATTTCTCAAAACAAACCAATGTGATTTTTATCATGGCCCCATTTGGGTCGCGCCAACAACCCTAGGAGTAGACAAACATTGACTGATTCATAAAGGTTTCCCAACTTAAAATACAGTAGAACACCGATAACAAGACCCTTGATAACAAGTCACCCTTGACAACAAGTGTCATAATCAAATCCCTTCAAATTATTTTACCCCATCACATATTTTTGCAAACCTCGATAAGAAGTCAACCTTGATAACAAGTCTGCTTATTTTATAATACCTATGAGAGCTTTGTTATCAAGGTTCTACTGTACAACTAAAAGCAAAAAAAGTTATAAATAAATGGGCCTAACTTAGGCTACGATAACAAATAAGTTGTACAGACTAACCTCAAATTTTTGTACATGGCCGAGGCAACCGGTAACCCATAATCATCAGAGCCGGTAGCCTCAGTGTATACCCAGGTACCTCCGACATTTCCTGTCTGCTCATACACAACATATGAAAAGTTGCTGTTTACAGTGAGATGACGAGCGACACAAAGTCCTGATGCTCCGGCCCCTATCACTGCTACACGCATCACTGCACGCACACTGCGACTGCACTGAACACTGAACTACTGAACTCGAACTGACTGAACATTAACCCTTGCCGACAGACCGCCACCGCCCACCTGGTCCACCACGGCTCGAGCGAACACCATTATTAGGGGGTTGAGTATGCACTGAAAGTGTAACCATGGTGTAACTCTTTTTGACTTTTGATTGTTGTTGGGGGCATCTTGGAGATGACAAAAACCGATGTTGTCGCCCTCCCAGCAGGTGCACAACTTGGGGGGGAGGGGGGAAGGCAAGGTGCTCTGAGACGCGTTCTAGAAAATCGCGAATCATATCTCGTGAACTAGACACGATAGAAACAAGCTCTAAACGGCATTGTATTACCAACTTCATCCGCTTGAAAAAAATATCAAGGAAAAATCCCGTATCTATGATATAGTTTGAGTTATTTAACAATTTATTTAAAATTTTGAATTAAAAACCCTAAATAACGTTAAACTATCCATTAAAACCCCTTTAAAACAACAAATAAGCTGTAGTAATAATAGAGATCGATGCTTTTACCACACGGACAATGTTGTCCTTCCCAGGAAGTAATTCACTGATACGGCCGGTTGGCCAATGGCATGGTAGCGTTGAGGTTTTCAAGAGAACTAGATCACCAATCTTGATGTTTGCAGTAGATTTTGTCCACTTGTGACGTTGCTGGAGATGATGCAAATATTCTAGGCTCCATCGTTTCCATAGCTGTTGTGAAAATTGTTGGACTTGTTGCCAACGCGCAAGTTGATTAGGCGACACATCGAGTAGACATGGTTCAGGGATGGAAACTAATGGTGCAACTGTCAAGAAATGTCCTGGAGTAAGTACATCTAATTCTTGAGGATCAGTTGAGAGAGGTGTAAGAGGTCTCAAATTGAGAATTGCCTCAATCTGCGTTAATAATGTCATCATTTCAGGAAGTGTGAGGATGGTTTGATCAATAACAGACATATTTATAATTTTATTTTTTTTTATTTTTTATTTTACGGGGGGTTTTAAGGGGGTAAAATTAGTTCTTTTTACATTTCTGGCCTTAAAAACACAAAATTTCCCAAGTTCTCTCTAGACCATTTTAAAGCTCTTAAAAATCTAATAATTTAGTATACCAAAGTGTTTTTTTTACGGTTAATGCTTAGGGAAAAAATTCAAAAATTGCAAATTTAAAATCTTAATGTTATTTCTATTGAGAATATTATAAAATGCTGTAATTTGCTTGTTTATGAAAATATTTTGGTTAAACTTTGCAAATTTGATTATTTTATACTAAACTACTTGTATTTCACCAAAAAACACACTTTAGCTTCCCTATAGCAGCAAACCTAGGTACTCGTTAAGCCTAATGTTATTAAAATAAGATTAAATTTAAAATAGATTCAGGCAAATGGAAATTTGCTTAGTCTGCAGGTTTGCTGCGGTGGGGGTATTTTAGTTTTAGAACTGAACAAATATAGGGCAGGAGGCAATAAAAAAGTATCTGAAACCTATAAGAAACCACAGAGAAATGAGATACAGAGGATACAATTTTATGGGACAACCGTGCACCTTTATATCTAGGTAGTATGTTGGGACGGAAATGTATTTAAAACGGACAAGGAAGAGCCCGAACGGCGATGACCACTTAGTGGTGTTGGACAGCAGTAGCGCACAGGGGTTTCCTACATCGTAAGCGCAGTAGTACGTAGTACGTAATAGCGAGGAGGAACAACGATTACTATAAATGTTAATATAAATGTCTGTCGCGTATGTGCGTCACATGGTCTGTGGATATGATGATTAGTGAGGTCATAAGATAGTTTGCAAAATTGTTTATAGGCTACTTTGCTTTATAGAGTTTAGAATTTGCTCTTGACAACAGCAACTGGTGTTAGACACCACTTAAGTGTACCATTGAATTATTTCTTACATCTCGGTAAAGAAAGTAAGCTTAGGTTTAGTCATAGTTTTTTTTTTATTTATTCACTACGTCCTCTGTGATTCTTTATAAAAAAAATATGAGTCATTGAAAACCAGTTGTTCTTTTGATTTTAAATAGAGAAATATTGAAACAAAAATAAAACTTGTCAAAAAAGTAACTTAAGACGTATTCTAACAGCTATATTTTTTCTGCCTATTCATCATAACGGTTGGGAGAACACACTATCACGATCACACAGAGGAGGTTATAGCCATGACCTCATATAGGCCTACTCCATCGATTAATCTCCATCCAATAGTTGAAGTCAGTCAGTCTTGTCTTTAAGCGGCCTACACACTACACGTGCATTGCACGCCGTGCCATTTTTTTATTGGCACGCCGTGCTCTGGCACGGCACGTTGTTGCCCACAAACTTGATCTTCAGTGTAGCCTGCAATGTGCTAAATATCATCGTCTGTTCGTACAAATTAAATGCAGAACACACAAACACATGGCATGTTTTAAGGACATAATTAATTAATCATTAAAAATAGAAACTACAGTACACAGCACTAAGCCACCTAAGGTTCGTCCAGACCTTGCACCTCGCTGCCGTATGGATATACGCCGGCAGGGCACTTGGTTCACAATACTGTACTATGGTGGAGGATGTATGCTTTATTATATACAGTATTATATAGAGATCAATGACTGCGTCTTGGATTACTTGTCGCATACGGCGCGCGTTCCATTGTGTCAATCTCAATCAATTGTGTTAATCTCGATGGTCGTGCCAAAGAAAAAATGCCGTCGATTCACTAGTAAGAAAGGACTAAATAGGGTCAAATCCTGTCAAAAGTGGTTGCACTACCAGCACGTGGCACGGGGATCGCCTACACACTAGCACGTCAAAACGGCGTGCTTTGGCACGGCACGTCAAAAATCAAACTCGTTTTGATTTCCACCGTGCCATGCCAATGCACGCCGTGCTTGCACGGTGTTCACCACACACTGGCACGTTTCGTCTGTTTTTGGCACGGCGTGCAATGCACGTGTAGTGTGTGGGCCGCTTATGGCTATCAAGATGCAGTCATCCTGACCTCTGAAGTTTTGACCTCTCCTGAAGTCATGGTTTGTGGGATACTTCGGGTCTTTAGCTTTGGCAGTGAAGCGATTTTTGGGTCGATACCAATTGAACCATGTGCCAGCATCGGACCACTTAATTTATGGGAACGGGATTTATTGGGTTAAAAATTGAGTTTCCACATTTTTTACCTTCAAAACATAAAGTTTTCCATTTTAATTCTAGACTACCTTGTAGAACCATAGACCAACCAATACAAGAAGATTTGTCATCCTATTATAAATTTTGAAGCTTGTTTTTCACAAGTACGGTGACACTGGGCGGTAGTATCGATGAAATTTTGTTTCTATTATTTATCGTTAATTACTCGATTTGTACTTTACCGTTTGGTTAAGGGTTATTACAAATGATGTTCATGATTTCATAAATACATGAAATATAGTTCTATTTGTTAAACAAAGAAATAAAATGGTTACAACTTTTGAAGAACTCAAAAAGTTTTGACACAGATACACAGAACCGTAAATGCTCGATACGGGAACCCCTTGTGGTACGATAGATGCCAATAATGTAGTCAAGCTCTTGCTAGACTTTGAAAAGTGTGTCTAGGTCTATTGTTTCGATAGCATTGGTAATCCGTTGCTGGATCTCAAGTATGCTATCTAATAATGGTGGTGTGTACGCCTTATCTTTGATGTATCCCCACAAGAAAAAAATCAGGGGGTGATGTCCGGAGATCTTGTAGGTCAGTTCAGGGGTGTGTCATTATTCGGACCACCGAGCTCGTTCCATATCTCAGGCAGCAGATTGTTAAGTTCAGCCCTACTACAGGTAACATTCAAATGCAGCCATTTCTCTTAAATGTCAATTGTCACTTGCCAATATAGTGGTTACTAGGAGGATAATCGTTAAACCTGGCTCTAAAGTGTCGTTACACACTTATAACAGATTGGTTAACGTTATTCCAACTGGCAAAAAGCTTTCCTGCTTTCAAATTCAGCCATTATACAACACTTACAACAATTGACTTGACAAACAGCTGATATGCACCCAAACCAATCTAAATGAAACTTTATGAGTTTTTCTTTCCAATGGTACCAACTAAAATAGTCTTGAAACAAATTAACCCAGTAATATTTATAATCAAAATCAGGAAGGAACATCATTTGTAATAACCCTGTATAACTAGGGGACGAGTTATGACTTATGGTTAGGTCGTATTATTTGTTTAACGAAGTTTTAAATAACTGAAATAACAAGAAACAAATTGTAAACAAAACATGAACTCAACAGTACACCGTACAGAACTATAGGTCGGCCGCTTAGAAAACGACCTGCGCGCTAATGCTAAACCAATGCTGGAGGAGGTCGTTTTCTAAGCGGCCGACCTATAACAATAAAATTGTAACTAAAGGTTAAAATACCGCAATCCTTCATCTGAAGATGACCCCTTCGTCGGGTTGAAACCGATCGCCGCCCAACGGTGACATTAATCACAAGACAGATTAAGGTATTTTAACCTCTAGTAATAGTTTAAATTTTGATCAGGAATATGAATAAGAATAAAAATGTATTTATTTTATTGAAAGGAATATTACAAAACAATACAAATGATAAAAATATAACATAACATTATTGACCCACTTATTGATAGATTAAAAACATAATTATCTCAGTTCACAATTACTAAGATTCATGTACATTAATTCTAAACTACCAAAAAGACAACGTATAATATAATGAAAACGCAGAATTAATTATTTATGCAAGGATTTTTACTTAACATTCAAAATTATCAGCTGTTAAAAGCCAAGTCTTAAGTTTTTTTGAAAATCCACCTAAAGATTTACAATTTTAACAATGTTTTTTGTAATTTACGAACAAACTTTGGACCTACAAAACAGTAACTATTAAGGAAATGTGTTAAATTTAAGGACGTAAAGAAGAAAAAAAATTTGTCTTCAGCTATTCTATAAGGATGAGAAATCTTGTAAGGGAGTAGTTTTTATCCATGGTAGAACATAGAGTTTAATTGATATTGAAGCGTTGTTAGCTTAATAGCTTTAGAAAAAGACCTTAAACTAATTTTTTAAATTAATTTTTATGGAGAATAAATAGTTGTAGTTTGCTTATTTTCGGATATTGTATTTTGTCTCAATTTACAGTTTTTACTTAATACTAACAATTAACATTTCACTTAAGTATACGTAAATACCTTACCCGCAAGAGCAAATCTAAGTAATCGTTAAAAATATTGTTATTGAAAACTATTGATTGGTTAATTGATTGGTTAATTGATTGGTTAATATATAATGATTCAGAGTGGTAAACACTTCTATTTGTTATTGTGTTTGTTCCTGAAGAAGGCTAATGCCGAAATATAGAAATTTTTTAAAAAGTGTGTGATAAGTTTATTTTAAAAAAGATTAAGCCGTTTGGCAATATTATGAAGAAACCATATTGATTGGTTAAGTTAGGCTGAAATAAACAAAACAGAATACAGCAATATAAACAAATGATATTAAGGTAATAAATTGAAACAATAACAAACAAATAAGTACAACTGAGGTATTTTAAACATAAGGTATAAGGACAGTTCTCTTTAGAAAAGAATTACGACTTTAAAGGACAATTTATTAAATGATGGATAGTTTTGAGCAAGGCTTCTCATTATGACGAATATTTTAAGTCTACTGTATAGATTATGGGGGTGTGACTTTTAGTTTTCTCAAAATTTCATGGGTACTTTAGGATTTTTATTTATAAGGAATGCATCTCATGTTTTAAAGGAAATATTTTTGTGAAATGCAATAGTTATTGTAGCTAATATTACTTTTCCCTGTACCACCCCATTCTTGTCAGGAAGGTAATTTACTTAGTATTTATTATTTTAATTATGTTTGTATATATTAACTAGCTGTGTGCCCGTTCTACGCACGGGGATCTTATAGTAGTCAGTTGAAACCTTCTTATATTAAGATTAAGAACAGCAGTTAGTTTGCATATTTGCAGATATGCTGGCAAAACTATTAGGCTATATATAACCCTTCGCAAATACAGTATCTGACGGTTCAACCCAAAATAAATGCTTCGCAATTAAATGTCACCCGGATTGTTATGGTCCATATGTCCAATGATTAAACTAAAAAATGTTTTATAGATCCATGAAGCGTAGCCCTAAAGTAGGCCTATAATTGAAAGTTACTTTCCACATCGGTTAACTTAAACGTATTTAAAGTACTACCTCAAACTCACCATTTAACACTTTATTCCGGTTGACATTTTCAGTATCAAAGGTGCTCTTGTCCATTCCGTGAAACACTGAAAAATAAGGACATTAATGCGTTACCAACAGACATACACACAACAATCCAAAAAAGGCCACGAACTATTGATACATAAACAATATAAAGGCGTAAACAATTCATGATGGTTTGCCCAACAAATGTTTTACTCAAATAGGTTATCATTTTCTTAGCATACCGGGTAAGCTAAGATTTGGAATACAGACAGAAAAAGCAAAACTTATACAGAGTTAAGACATCACTTAAATTGAATACGGACGGCTCTAATAAATAAGGTGCCACACCAACGATAACTAATTTGTAAACTACAGTGATGTGTTGGTACCTACGTAAAAATGATTCTAGCAGCTACCAACGGTTCTAAGGAAAAGAACCAGTACCTACGTAAGAACCTACCTAAGAACTATAGTACATCCGACCAATTAAATACAATAATATCTAGTCCCGAGGTTATTGATCTCTTGCTTTTGGATTTTCTCGTAAAAAGTTATAGCGTAAACTTATCGGTGTCAGTTTGAAAAAAAAACAACCTTACCCAAACAACTTTTTGTTATTTAATAGATTACGCATTCTCTAAACAATGATTAGTATATCTATTAACATTAGAAGGAAATGTGACGAAAATCACACAATGTTGGGGTTTTGGTCATTTGTAATTATATTTCTTAAGTAGGTAGGCCATGTATTCTATGGAAAAGCGAGTTTAGCACTTCCTCTGTTAAACCTCTGTTACAATCACCCACTGCAGTTGTGATTTTTTACTTTACACTTTACACAACCGCCATTGAAGCGCCGTCAATGAGTGGAAACCTTTTTTGTAAGCTATTGGCGACGATCATTTCAGTGTCCCAGCCCTATACAACACTGATTCAAGGTCTTCTATCTGGTTGTCAAAACTCAAGAAACATTTTATACTTAAAGAATTTCTGGTTCCGATTTGGACGATGTCTAGTTATTTAATTTCATTTACGGTTACACTATTAGACTATATTATTGCACTTGCGATTAATTAAATCCGTTATGTAAGAAAAACGTTTTTAATCTCACTTGGTTGGGATTTGCTTTAAAAACGTGATTCGAAATGGTTGCGGTATTTGTAAACAACATTTGTAAACATATCATTGACAGCTAGAAAAAATAATCTTGATCCGAGCAGCTGTTCGTTATTTCATAGACGATTATGTGATAAAAATTGAACGAAAATTTGACAAAAATCGCACAAAACTGCATTTTTGAACGTCCGTAATTTTATTTACTAAGTAGTGAGGCTATATTTAAATCACTAAAGACACTCTCGCCAATCCAGTGAATACATTAAAATGACTTGGATCTTGATAGGTACTCTGGTTTTCACGGAGAAGATTGCGTAAAATGCCATCTTGAGTGTTACAGACAAAGGGAAAGACAGACAGACAGACAGACAGACAGAAATAGAGATAAGACTCGTTTCTGCTTCTTTAATGTATGAAACGTAAAAATAACCTAAAAGTGTATAATTCTGAGCAAAGTACAGACAAAACTCTAATTTTATTTATATAGATGAAGATATGCCTATTGCCTAGCGACTTAGAGGCTAGTTCACAATTTACAGCTTTTTAACACAATTAATTGGAAATAACGAAATGATGAAGGGAACTTAAAAATGATTCGTTCTTAAATAGAGAAGATAGCTAATAATTTAATAGGAAATTGCCAAAAACACATAAGACGCACAATCTATGATAAATAAATCACATTTATTTACAGTCATTAAAATTGTTAAAAGTCCCCATATTACGTTACGCTCATGGGTGGGGGCATGGTTCTGCTTAGCGTTACACATCGTAATAAGGAGGATGAGTTTCAAAATCGTTCCGGTAACGAACAAAAAATAAATTTTTTCAAAGTACCAAAATGATTAACTAATGATATGCATAAAAACCTATTGATTTTTCGTTGGAACTTTTCGTTGGAAGTGCCAGATGAAAAAGTGCATGGGTTGTAACAACATAACACACAATTTAATACAAAAAATATTATTTGAGTACTAAATAAAAAAAGAGCAGTTTGCAAAAATATTATGCCACATAAAAAAGCTAAGCTAAAGCAGTTGGAAGTTGTGTTTAAATAAACTGTTACATTTTCTCTTTGATTCTTTGCATTTTTGATTTTATTGTACTTAAAAACCAATTTCAACACATTTTCACTCATGCACTTTTAATAAATTCATGTTTAGTTTAGTTCATATAGTATTTCGATATGAACCTTTTTAATCTCCTTTTTTATACAGCTTATGAATGCAAAATATTTTTTACATGTGATACACTTTTCAGGTATCTCTACTGTGAATCAATGTATGTTTCTTCAGAGAACTTTTGAAAGTAAATGATTTTTCACATGTAGTGCACTTATGAGGGCGCTCCCCTGTATGAACCAATGCATGTGTCTTCATACTGTTTATTCGTGTAAAGGATTTTCCACATGTAGCACACTTGTAAGGTTTCACTCCTGTATGAACCAATGAATGTGACTTCATATTGCTTATTGTTGTAAAGGTTTTTCCACATGTAGCACACTCGTAAGGTCTCTCTCCTGTATGAACCAATGTATGTGACTTCATACTGCCTATTCGTGTAAAGGATTTTCCACATGTAGCGCACTTGTAAGGTCTCTCTCCTGTATGAACCAATGTATGTTTCTTCATATTGTCTATTGTTGTAAAGGTTTTTCCACAATTAGCACATTCGTAAGGTCTCTCCCCAGTATGAACCAATGTATGTCTCTTCATACTGCCTATTGTTGTAAAGGATTTTTCACATGTAGCACACTTGTAAGGTCTCTCTCCTGTATGAACCAATGTATGTTTCTTCATACTGTTTATTCGTGTAAAGGATTTTCCACATGTAGCACACTCGTAAGGTCTCTCTCCTGTATGAACCAATGTGTGTGTCTTCATATTGCCTATTGTTGTAAAGGATTTTCCACATGTAGCACACTCGTAAGGTCTCTCTCCTGTATGAACCAAAGTGTGTGTCTTCATATTGCCTATTTTTGTAAAGGATTTTCCACATTCAGTGCACTTATAGGGTCTCGTATGAATTTGCGAATGCTCCTTCATATGGCTTTGGAGTTGAATGGATTCCCCACTTATAGGAGACTTCCTTAAGTGTATCAACAAATGACTCTTTACTTGCTTTAGTCGGAAAAATGCTTTCTCACATGTCAAACATTTAAAGGGCCGCTCTCCAGTGTGATATAATATATGGACCTTCATTGCAGATCGATTTGGACAACTTTGTCCACATATTGGACACTTGTGATCGAAATGTTTGAAGCTAGTTAACATTTTCTACTTTTCAATTTTATCACAGTGAATCTTATCATATAAGATATAAGGAGATCTTGTTAGAAATCTCAACAAATCATAGAGAATTGTATCAATGTAAGTAGTAAATTTGTTTTTAGGACTTGTGTGTACAGCAGTTACATGATAGGCTACGTACGTATCACTCATTCAACATTGAATCTTCTTGTTTTCAAATTTTGCTATGCATATTAGAATTTCACAATATACTTGAGGGTTTACTTTTTCTCGTGTCTTTCTTTATTCTTCTATTGATTTATATTAACTCTTAAATCAATATAATCTGATGTTTTATTTCTTTTTACCGTCTCGACCTACAACAAAAAAGTTTGTTATAATTAAAATGTAGTTTACCAGAACAAATTACTGAATTTAATTTGTTTAGGGCTACAAAATAACATATATAGCTGTTCTTCAAAGTGTACAACATTAGAGACTATCAAAATAAGTATCTTATATATGGAAAAAATTTGGTTTTTTCGAGTTTATTTGGCTTCTCTACCCGAACGATTTTCGTGATTAAGGTCTTAAATTGAAGGCATGCACGCAAGATTTCACATCAAGCAATTACTGGACAAACTTATAATTTGAAAAATTTTGTATTAATACATACCAGTTACAACTATATAATCCTATATATTTTGATCGAAGAACCTTTAGTGAAATACCAGCTTTCATTTAAGCTATTAGTTATTCAAATCGGACGAGTTTCAACCAAACGCAAGGTGAACAACCAAAATAAAAAATATTATTCTTAAGGTTTATCTATGATTAAAACTCAATAGCTCCAGGATTGTTTGGGGTTTTTTTTATATGTTTCGGACTCAAAATTATCAGTAAATTATAGATTTTTATTTGAGCTATTATTTGATCAGTTAAGCTCATGATCCTGTACTAATCAATCCAAAATCATAAATTTGATAATTTCTTGAATATTATATATATATATATATAAACACTTCGGAGCAGCATGGGCCTCTAGTTTGTTATCAAATTAGATTCTATTTTCTTATGTCTGAACTCATCTATCATCACTTCTGAAAAAGATCACATCTGATTCAAAATGTGTATCATTAAGCCTGAAGTGCTTAGCATCGAAAATAAAATCCCACTTATCATCACAAATACCTCAAATCCTAACATTGTCTAATCACAGGAACCTGATGAAGAGAACCCTTTCTACAGCAACTTAAAATAAAAATTACCATATGTTCTGTAAAGAGTAGCCTATATAAATATATTTAACGTTTTATAAATATAATATAATATTTTTAAATTGTCGCCATTTGTTTTCGTAAATTTGTTGTAGTTAAAACTTATAACATAACATGGATACTGTTGTTTTTTTTATTCGTAACAGAAATAAAATAGATTAACTTGCAACAAAATAATTACACTTTATATAATTTAGGCTACTTCATATAAAACTAAGAACAATATAAAATCAATTAAATCCTCATGTAAGAAAATTTAGGACCTTCAATGGCATAGCCTGTGTGGAAGTTCCTTATCTATTACATTGACAACAAAATGCGTGGAATAGTTTACAAAGCTTAACATTACTGACCCACTTATTGATAGATTAAAAACATAATTATCTCAGTTCACAATTACTAAGATTCATGTACATTAATTCTAAGCTACCAAAAAGACAACGTATAATGTAATGAAAACACAGAATTAGTTATTTACTAGTGTACCTGTTGCTCGAATTCGAGCTATTGAGAAGCATTACAGGCGATTCAAAGATTATGGAAATACTCACGATCTACACAACAGTTAGATTTAATCAAAATCTTTTGTAAATATCATCTTTTTTCAAAAAGCTTATCTTGTTTTTTAGTGTTTTCTACAAATTTTTCACTCTCATATCCGCATTAGGTTGTCTATGACAACGATTATAAATGAAACAAAAAAAAACATTTCTATTTCTTCTACTTGGTTGTGTTCTATGACTTTTTCTATGTTTCCATTGTTTGCAAATCAATTATTTCAATGATTGCTCAAGAAATTTAGAACAGTGTTGATTCAGTTTTATTTTTAGCTCATATCAAATTGTCCAGGATTCCTCGCTCTTTTCCATTGTAATAATTACACCAATCCAAGTTTCGTATACAGATGCAATATGCCAACGAATATCACCTACGTACAATCTCCAAGAAGTGGTAAAAAAGGGAGAAACCAACCCATACAATAGATATAAGTTAACTCCAAAAGAAATAATTTTAAGAGTTACTGTGATATTATGATTTTCCACTGATTTGGTAATAGAACATTATATTGCAAAACATGACACGATGCAGAAGAAAATCCAATTTAAAATCAAAAAACCCCATTGCAAATACTCTACTTCATTATGACAAATTCAATAAATCACAACTTAAATATTAACAGCTGTTTCATTAAAAAGTAGTGTAGAATTATGCATATGGTCGTAATGTAAACAAATCTGAAGAGGCAACTTTAAAGGCTTCTGGAGCAGAACCCCAAGGGAATTTACCTCGTTCCTCTTTTGATGGCTCATCTACAGACCAATACCTTTCTTTAGAGACCCCTGCCAGGTTTCTATGCCCAGCCATTCTCTCAAATTAGCTGTGAAAAAAACCCCTTTTTCCTCCATAAGAATAACATGGGATGGGAATTTAAAGGCCACTGGGGCAGAGCCCCAAGGGAATTCACCATGTTTTTTTTTTTGATGGCTCATCTACAAACCAAGACCTTTCTTTAGACACCCCTACCGAGTTTCTACACGCAGCTGTTCTCTCAAAATAGCTATGACAAAGAAAAACAATTTCAAATTAATATATAGATGCAAGGATTTTTACTAAACAAACAAAATTAACAGCTGTTAAAAGCCAAGTCTTAAGTTTCTTTGAAAATCTACCTAAAGTTTTACAATTTTAACAATATTTTTTAGTAATTTACAAACAAACTTTGGACCTACAAAACAGTAACTATTAAGGAAATGTGTTACATTTAATAAGGCAAAGAAAAAAAATAAAAAAAAGATGTCCTCAGCTATTCTATAAGGATGAGAAATCTAGTGGGAGAGTATGTTTTATCCATGGTAGAACATAGAGTTTAATGAAGCGTTGTTAGCTTATTCGGATATTGTATTTCGACTCAATTTACAGTTTTTACTTAATACTAACGATTAACATTTCACTAAAGTATACTTAACTACCTTACCCGCAAGAGCAAATCTAAGTAATCATTAAAAATATTGTTATTGAAAACTATTGATTGGTTAAGTTAGGCTGAAATAAACAAAACAGAATACAGCAATATAAACAAATGATAATATTAAGGTAATAAATTAAAACAATAACAAACAAATAAGTACAACTGAGGTATTTTTAAACATAAGGTATAAGGACACTTCTCTTTAGAAAAGAATTACGACCTTAAAGGACAATTTATTAAATGATTGATAGTTTTGAGCAAGGCTTCTCATTATGACGAACATTTTAAGTCTACTGTATAGATTATGGGGGTGTGGCTTTTAGTTTTCTCAAAATTTCATGGGTTTTTTGGGATTTTTATTTATAAGGAATGTATCTCACATTTTAAAGGAAATATTTTTGTGAAATGCAATCATTATTGTAGCTAATATTGCTTTTCCCTGTACCACCCCGTTCTTGTCAGGAAGGTAATTTACTTAGTATTTATTATTTTAATTATGTTTGTATATATTAATGAAGATATGCCTATTGCCTAGCAACTTAGAGGCTAGTTCACAATTTACAGCTTTTTAACACAATTGGAAATAACGAAATGATGAAGGGAACTTAAAAATGATTGGTTCTTAAATAGAGAAGATAGCTAATCATTTAATAGGAAATTGTCAAAAACACATAAGACACACAATCTATGATGAACAAAACACATTATTTTACAGTCATTAAAATTGTAAGGAGGATGAGTTTCAAAATCGTTCCGGTAACGAACAAAAAAAATCTTTTTCAATGTACAAAAATGATTAACTAATGATATGCATAAAAACCTATTGATTTTTGGTTGGAACTTTTTGTTGGAAGTGCCAGATGAAAAAGTGCATGGGTTGTAGCAACATAACACACAATTTAATACAAACAATATTTTTTGAGTAGGTACTAAATTAAAAAAGAGCAGTTTGCAAAAATATTCAGCCACATAAAAAAAGCTAAGCTAAAGCAGTTGGAAGTTCTGTTTAAATAAACTGTTAATTTTCTCTTTGATTCTTTTATTTTTTTTTATTTTATTGTACTTAAAAACCAATTTCAATACATTTTCACTCATGTAACTTTAATAAATTCATGTTTAGTTTAGTTCATATAGAATTTGCACATGAACCTTTTTAATATCCTTTTTCACCACACTATGATGTTTTTGGCTGTATTACATACGTTAATTGGTGGCTGAAAGTTACGTTTTGCTGGCCATGCCAGCTGTCATCGTAATTTGGGGACCAAGCAGGTTTTTACAGGCCGGGGCCACAAAATCAGCTGTCCGCTTACTTACTTAAAACATGAATGCATTTTAAATACAAAATTAAAATCCATAGCATTGCAATAGAATTGTGTTATTGTCGCCGTTGCCTAGCAACTATTTATTTTTATTTTTGCTGATTCCTCAAATTATTTCTTCACATAACCTTAAAGTTGTAGTTGTGTTGACTATCAGTGTGCATTATTATAGTGGTAATAGGGTATAGTGTGGTGAAAAATAGCGTTCGTACCACGGACCGAAATGGTTTTGCAGCTCTCGATCGATTTAAGTTCTCGACTTCGTCTCGAACTTAAAAACTATCTCGAGCCGGAAAAACCTCATTTTCGGCCCTTGGTACGAAATATACTATTTTATACAGCTTATGAATGCAAATCATTTTTTACATGTGGTACACTTTTGAGGTATCTCTACTGTGAACCATTGTATGTTGTATCAATTTTAATACATTTTCCTCATGCAACTTTAATAAATTCATGTTTAGTTTAGTTTATATAGATATTTGACATGAACCTTTTTAATATCCTTTTTTTACAGCTTGTGAATGCAAAACATTTTTTACATATGGTACACTTTTGAGGTATCTCTACTGTGAACCATTATATGTTTCTTCATACAGCTTTTAGTTATGAACACTTGCAATATGTTTCTTCAGATCAATTTTGACAGTAAATGATGTTTCACATATAGTGCACTTATGACGGAGCTCCCCTGTATGAACCAATGAATGTGTCTTCATATTGCTTATTGTTGTAAAGGTTTTTCCACATGTAGCACACATGTAAGGTCTCTCTGCTGTATGGACAAATGTATGTTTCTTCAGATCACTTTTGGAAGTAAATGCCTTTTCACATTTAGTGCACTTATAAGGTCTCTCTCCTGTATGAACCAAGGTATGTTTCTTCATACTGCCTATTGTTGTAAAGGTTTTTCCACATGTAGCACACATGTAAGGTCTCTCCCCTGTATGGACCAATGTATGTGTCTTCATACTGCCTATTGTTGTAAAGGTTTTTCCACATGTAGCACACATGTAAGGTCTCTCTCCTGTATGGACTAATGTATGTGGCTTCAAACTGCCGAATGATTTGTAGGATTTTCCACATGTTTTACACTTATACAGCCTCTCTGCTGTATGGACAAATGTATGTTTCTTCAGATCACTTTTGGAAGTAAATGCCTTTTCACATTTAGTCAGGGCCGTACCTAGGCTGTGGCAAAGGTGGCCCCTGCCAAGGGCGCAGGTTAGACAAGGGCGCAAAATGGGCGCCGGTTGGGCAAGAACGCAAAATGGGAAAGAGGGACAAATTTTACTTTTTTTATGAGCTAGATGAAAAAAATAGAAATTGACGTTTTACACTTATGTTACGGTAGCTATAATAACGGTTATATGAAATTATTTTATGTTTTTTAATGTAATTTATTGATTTATTAACAATTATTACAATGTCAACCATTGTAGTTGTACAGAAAAATGGGCGCAGGGACGTTCTCACAAGGCCCGGTGGTAAGCATGACACTATTTTCGTTTTAAAGTTAATAATTCTAAGTTGGCAACGCTGGGCGTATTATTGTTTGATTTGCAAGCCTGTCACTTCACTTGCCAGTTCTCCTCCACACGCCAGTCCACTCAGTCCAGTCCCAGTGCCACTTTCAGTGCTAAGCCTTTATACTCTACTTAGCCTATGTAGGCCTAAACCGTATTCGTATTGCGTACATCGCTTCACTTCATCCATCAGATCTCACTCAATTAATTAGGTAAGATTTGTTTGAAACTAATTACATTGAATAACCCTTTAGCCATAAGTTCCGTTTTAGCTTTTGGTGATTATAGGCCTAGAGCAAAACTACTGCATAACCTTTAACCTAATCTTAGGCTTATATGTCATGCCATCAACAACATCTGCCTTTCTGCCTTGTTTTTCTGGAGATTAAATTAACTGCCCCAACTTTATACTGATTGCAATAAGCCTACTCGCATATTCCGACTGCCTATTTCCTCTCTATTTTCTGTAATACTTCCATTCCTTGGTCCTTTTGTAGGTTATACTATAGTAGTATAAGTGCTTGGGTGCTGCTTACTAACTCTCACTGTTGGCCTATACAAAAGAACGAATTATTGGCTAGTTTGTATGTTCTATAACAATGGGCTATGTTTGTTATTTGTATTTGTAAATTTTCCCTTAAAATCCACGTCTAGCAAGCTTAGAAATCAACTTGTCCCGTCGTTTTCCCTCCAATTGGCCATGGGACCCAGGGAGTGCTGCTATCTGTGGACGCTTTAGCGAACTACGTTGACTCTCGTCGTAACGCAGTACAGTAGTCGCAGTTAGTCTGGGCGCGCGGACCCTTGTGCACTAACCATCCCCCACGCCAAAGCCATGAAGACATTGCTGAGGCGCTGAACAACCCCAGAGTGCCGTGTGGGCCAAATGTTTTTGGAAATGAGCAATAAACACTCCCCTCTACACCCCCCCCTGATTGTATGTCTTAAGTTTATGCAATTCATTTTACTGTTCTGTAAAATTCTGGTTAAGAGCCCACTTCCTGATATTATTTTTTTAGTAAAAAATAATATATATTTTTTGAATTGGGGAACAATAAAATGCATTTATGGATGCTATAAAGCATCCTTGACAATCTACAAGAATTGGTATTGCCTAATAGGATTGGTGACGATGGTACAAATATGGATTCTCTATTCTATTAGGAATTGAATTTTTTTCAGAAATGGGTCCAAAGAAGAAACTTTCTGGATGTCAGTTTAAGAACATCCGAAAAGAAAAACAAAAAGAGGACAAGAAGCTAGCATCAGCACTTGGTGGCTGGCTTTTAAATGAAAATAAAGAAATGGGAAAAAAAGATACACCTTCTCAAATACAAGAAGAAGTTAAAGAAGAAGACATCAAAAATAATGAAGGCGAAGAAGAAGAATGCAGCATGATACCTTTATCAGAAGAAGGTGACGACGACGACAACCGCAGCTACATAACTCCAACAATACCAATGGACGTTGACACAAACCTCGCTACTTTAGAAGAAGACTGTGGTCCTCAGCTGGAACCATTCACAAAGAATGAACGTTTGCGTGCTGCTGTTGAGGAAGAGGAAGGGTGTAGTTGTACGCCTACAAATGAAGGCAAAGAAATTGAAATAATCTACGACGACCCCAAGCAATGGCCTGAAAATTTTCGATCTGATGCAGTACGTTGTAAACTTGTTGAACGAGGTCCTCAAACTGTTGACTTAAAAAGCTTTAAATTTCCCTGTACAGATGATGGAAGGCACTTTTCCCGCAATTGGTTTTTTAAAACTATAAGAAATGGTGAAACTGTACAAAGGCAATGGTTGTTGTATAGCCAATCTAAGGATACACTGTTTTGCTTCCCTTGTCTTTTATTTAAAGACGATAAGTCAGCTTTCTCGGATGTAGAAAAGGGGTTTAATGATTGGAAACACCTCAATCCAACACTTCACAATCACGAAATTTCAGCATCTCACCTACAAGCATATGGCGATTGGAAAGAACTAGCTACCCGATTGCAAACTGGGCGTACAATTGACGCAGAGAACCAAAAATGCATAAAAGCAGAAGCTGAAAAGTGGCGCAGTGTTCTCAAGTGTATCGTAGATGTAATTCTTCATTGTGCCAGGAATAACTTACCATTGAGAGGGGGTTCTGACTCTATAAATGACAAAAACTGTGGTGTATTTTTAAGTACTCTGGAACTCATCAGTCACTACAATCCTCAGCTAAATGAGCATATAGCTAATGTAAAAAGTGGAAAATATGTCCCAAGCTATTTCTCTCCAAAGATACAGAACGAGGTTATTGAGATTTTAGGTAAAAAGGTTAGGTCTGAAATATTGCAAGATATCAAAAATGCCAAGTACTTCTCAATTATGTTTGACTGCACCCCGGATACAGCACGTTTAGAGCAGACGAGTCAAATAATTAGATATGTAAAAATTGTGGATGGAGAGTGTGTAATAGAAGAAAGCTTTGTTGACTTTATCATAAGTCATCAGAAAACTGGAAGAGGTTTATCTGAAGAAATATTGGACAAGCTGATGAACGACGGCTTAGATATCCAGAACTGTCGGGGGCAAGGCTTCGATAACGGTGCAAATATGGCTGGAAAATATGAAGGTGTCCAAGCTCATATATGCCAGCTGAACGACCTTGCCAAATTTATTCCTTGTTCAGCTCATAGCTTGAACCTAGTTGGCGTGCACGCAGCAGAAGTGTCAGTTCTAATGATGAATTTTTTTGGAAAAGTGTTGGAGTTTTTTAATTTCTTTAGTAGTTCTACAATACGTTGGGAAGCCTTACTTGATTGTGTAAAAACTACCCTGAAGAGACATTGTGAGACAAGATGGTCTTCTAGACGACAAGCCGTTACAGCACTGCAGAAGAACTTGCCATCAGTATTTAAGGTGCTACAAAACATGGCCGATAGAAGCAACAATTGGAACTCTGACACTACATGTGGTGCTACAAACCTGTTAAGACAAATTGATTTCGAATTTGTATGCCTCCTAGAGATTTGGACTGATGTGTTGATCAGTTTGGACTGTACCAACAAATCACTACAAGGAAAGACTGTCACTCTTGATGTAGCATCAAGTTTACTATCTGGCTTGGCAAAACAGATTCAACATCTACGAGAACAAGGTGTACAAAAGTACATAGACAATGCCAAACTAATCTGTACTTCTATGTCCATCGACAGCAGTTTTGCCGAAAAACGACTAAGAAGGGTCAAGAAAATGTCTGGGGAGATGGCTGAAGATGAAGCGCATTTAATTAGCTCTGAAAAAATCTTTGAAAGAGAGTGCTACTCTGTATTTGACAAACTTATGAGTGAAATGGATAACAGATCCCATATTTATCACAACATTTCTTCTGACTTCAGTTTCTTGTCTGGCAAATCTTTAAGTAGGAACTCTGTATGTGACCTTCAAAAATGTGCAGCGGACTTGGGTGTCAAATACAGCAGAGACATTGACACTTTTGAACTAGTAAATGAAGTAGCTGCTTTTAAGTTCCAGGCAAAAGAGCTTGTAAAAGACTTGGAGAAGGCATCTCACTTGGATCTCTTAAAGGCCATTTCAAAATACGAGTTGAAAGATGCTTATCCAAATGTAGAAATATCCTTACGGATATTTTTAACGATGCCTGTCAGTGTTGCATCTTGCGAGCGTAGTTTCAGCAAGCTCAAGATAATTAAAAACTACTTGAGATCGAGCATGTGCGAAACTCGACTGACAAATTTGGCAATTTTATCAATCGAGTATGACAGAGCATCCAAAATTGATTTCAATGAAGTAATCAATAAGTTTGCTCTCGTTAAAGCAAGGAAAGTGCAATTATTGTAAATATTGATGAAGTCAGAATACAGTTGTAAATATTAAAACTTATGTAAATAACTCTGTACAAATTGTACTTATTGTAACTTATTAAATTCCACAAAAAGGGATAGGCCTACTTTTGTTTACTACCTTAATATACATTGTGATGAAATTGGGTTAACGGATCATTATGTTTTATAAAAATATATTGTTTAGCCAATCATTTAAGCATAAACCATAAAAAATCATTATAGTGTAGCAAAAAGTTAAATTTTCAATGTCAAAATCAGAATTATTTCTTGATGTTTTAAGAGCCAGAATTGCTTAAAAATGTGTTTTACTGATGTTAAAATTTAAAAATTTTCCCCCCCCGGACCCCCCGCCTTTCAGGGGGGTATTCCATACCCCCCAGACCCCCCGGAGGGCGCACTTACGCTGATTCGCCACGTACAAAGGAGCATCTAGGTACGGCCCTGCATTTAGTGCACTTATAAGGTCTCTCTCCTGTATGGACCAATGTATGTAGCTTCATACTACCTATTTGGTTAAATGATTTTCCACATGTAGCACACTCATAAGGTCTCTCTCCTGTATGAACCAATGTATGTGTCTTCATATTGCCTATTGTTTTAAAGGATTTTCCACATGTAGCACACTCGTAAGGTTTCTCTCCTGTATGAACCAATGAATGTGTCTTCATATTGCCCATTGTTTTAAATGATTTTCCACATGTAGCACACTCGTAAGGTTTCTCTCCTGTATGAACCAATGAATGTGTCTTCATATTGCCTATTGTTTTAAAGGATTTCACACATGTAGCACACTTGTAAGATCTCTCTCCTGTATGAACCAATGTATGTGTCTTCATATTGCCTATTGTTTTAAAGGATTTTCCACATGTAGCACACTCGTAAGGTTTCTCTCCTGTATGAACCAATGAATGTGTCTTCATATTGCCTATTGTTTTAAAGGATTTTCCACATGTAGCACACTCGTAAGATCTTTCTCCTGTATGAACCAATGCATGTGTCTTCATATTGCCTATCGTTTTAAAGGATTTTCCACATGTAGCACACTCGTAAGATCTTTCTCCTGTATGAACCAATGCATGTGTCTTCATATTGCCTATTGTTGTAAAGGATTTTCCACATGTAGCACACTTGTAAGGTCTCTCTACTGTATGAACCAATGAATGTGTCTTCATATTGCCTATTGTTTTAAAGGATTTTCCACATGTAGCACACTCGTAAGATCTTTCTCCTGTATGAGCCAATGAATGTGTCTTCATATTGCCTAGTGATGCAAAGGATTTTCCACATGTAGTGCAGTTATAAGGTCCCTCCACTGTATGAACCAATAAATGTCTCTTTATATCTTGTTTTCTTGCAAAGGATTTTTCACACATAGTGCACTTATAAGGTCTCTCCCTCGTTTGAATTTTTGTACGCTCCTTTATTTGGCTTTGAAATTTAAAGAATTTAGTACACTTTTTAAAGTGTATTAACAAATGACTCTTAACTTTGTTTAGTTGTAAAAATGTTTTCTCACACGTCAAACATTTAAAGGGACGCTCTCCAGTGTGATACATTATATGGACCTTTATTGCGGATCGAGTTGAACAGCTTTGTCCACATATTGGACACTTGTGAGCAAAATGTTTGAAGCATGTTAACATTTTCTACTTTATTTCAATTTTATCACAGTGAATCTTATCATATAAACAGTATCTTGTTAGAAATCTCAACAAATCATAGAGGATTGTATCAATGTAAGTAGTAAATTTGTTTTTAGGACTTGTCAAATGTACAGCAGTTACATGATAGGCTACGTACGTATCTCTCATTCAACATTGAATCTTCTTGTTTTCAAATCTTGCTATGCAAATTAGAATTTTACAATATACTTGAGGGTTTACTTTTTCTCATGTCTTTCTTTATTCTTCTATTGTTTTACATTAACTCTCAAATCAATATAATCTGATGTTTTATTTCTTTTTACCGTCTCGACCTACAACAAAAAAGTTTGTTATAATTAAAATGTAGTTTACCAGAAAAAATTACTGAATTTAATTTTTTAGGGCTACAAAATAACACATATATATATATATATATATATATATATATATATATATATATATATATATATATATATATATATATATAGAGCTGTTCTTCAAAATGTACAATATTAAAGACTATCAAAATAAGTATCTTATATATGGAAAAAATTTAGGTTTTTTCGAGTTTATTTTGCTTCTCTACCCGATCGATTTTCGTGATTAAAGTCTTAAATTGAAGGCATGCACGCAAGATTTCACATCAAGCAATTACTGGACAAACTCACTAGACACGAAAAACGTGCTTAAAAATTTACAATGGGATGAGAAGTCTACTTGTGTTGGTTAGTCTATGGTATAATATAACACAGAATTAATTATTTATGCAAGGATTTTTACCAAACATTCAAAATTATCAGCTGTTAAAAGCCAAGTCTTTCTAAAAAAAATGTAAAAATGTAAGTTTTCTTTGAAAATCTACCTAAAGTTTTCAATTTTAACAATATTTTTAGGTAATTTACAAACAAACTTTGGACCTACAAAACAGTAACTAACTATTAAGGAAAGGTGTTACATTTAAGGAGGCAAAGAAGAACAAAAATGAAAAAAAATTGTCTTCAGCTATTCTAGAAGGATGAGAAATCTAGTGAGAGAGTATGTTTTATCTGTAGTAGAACATAGAGTCTAATTGATAATGAAGCGTTGTTAGCTTAATAGCTTTAGAAAAAGATCTTAAACTAATTTTTAAATTAATTTTTTTGGAGAAAAAATGGTTGTAGTTTGCTTATTCGGATATTGTATTTTGACTCAATTTACAGTTTTTACTTAATACTAACGATTAACATTTCACTTAAGTATACGTAACTACCTTACCCGCAAGAGCAAATCTAAGTAATCATTAAAAATATTGTTATTGAAAACTATTGATTGGTTAAGTTAGGCTGAAATAAACAAAACAGAATACAGCAATATAAACAAATGATAATATTAAGGTAATAAATTAAAACAATAACAAACAAATAAGTACAACTGAGGTATTTTAAACATAAGGTATAAGGACAGTTCTCTTTAGAAAAGAATTACGACCTTAAAGGACAATTTATTAAATGATTAATAGTTTTGAGCAAGGCTTCTCATTATGACGAACATTTTAAGTCTTCTGTATAGATTATGAGGGTGTGACTTTTAGTTTTCTCAAAATTTCATGGGTACTTTGGGATTTTTATTTATAAGGAATGTGTCTCACGTTTTAAAGGAAATATTTTTGTGAAATGCAATAATTATTGTAGCTAATATTGCTTTTCCCTGTACCACCCCATTCTTGTCAGGAAGGAAGGTAATTTACTTAGTATTTATTATTTTAATTATGTTTGTATATATTATTGAAGATATGCCTATTGCCTAGCGACTTAGAGGCTAGTTCACAATTTACAGCTTTTTAACACAATTGGAAATAACAAAATGATGAAGGGAACTTAAAAATGATTCGTTCTCAAATAAAGAAGATAGCTAATCATTTAATAGGAAATTGCCAAAAACACATAAGACGCACAATCTATGATGAATAAAACACTTTTATTTACAGTCATTAAAATTGTTAAAATTCCCCATATTACGTTACGCTCATGGGTGGGAGCGTGGTTCTGCTTAGCGTTACACATCGTAATAAGGAGAATGAGTTTCAAAATCGTTTTGGTAACTAAAAAAAATTAAAATGTTTTCAAAGTACCAAAATGATTAATTAATGATATGCATAAAAACCTATTGATTTTTGGTTGGACCTTTTTTGTTGGAAGTGCCAGATGAAAAAGTGCATGGGTTGTAACAACATAACACACAATTTAATACAAACAATATTATTTGAGTACAAATTTAAAAAAAGAGCAGTTTGCAAAAATATTCTGCCACGTAAAAAAGCTAAGCTAAAGCAGTTGGAAGTTGTGTTTAAATAAACTGTTAGTTTTCTCTTTGATTTATTGAATTTTTGATTTTAATGTACTTAAAAACCAATTTCAATACATTTTCACTCATGCAACTTTAATAAATTCATGTTTAGTTTAGTTTATATAGAATTTCCACATGAACCTTTTTAATATCCTTTTTTATACAGCTTATGAATGCAAAACATTTTTTACATGTGGTACACTTTTGAGGTATCTCTACTGTGAACCATTGTATGTTTCTTCATACTGCTTTTAGTCATGAGCACTTGCAATATGTTTCTTCAGATCACTTTTGACAGTAAATGATGTTTCACATATAGTGCACTTATGACGGCGCTCCCCTGTATGAACCAATGTATGTGTCTTCATACTGCTTATTTGTGTAAAGGATTTTCCACATGTAGCACACTCGTAAGGTCTCTCTCCTGTATGAACCAATGTATGTGTCTTCATACTGCCCATTTGTGTAAAGGATTTTCCACATGTAGCACACATGTAAGATCTCTCTTCTGTATGAACCAATGTATGTGTCTTCATACTGCCCATTTGTGTAAAGGATTTTCCACATGTAGCACACTTGTAAGGTCTCTCTCCTGTATGAACCAATGAATGTGTCTTCATATTGCCTATTGTTTTAAAGGATTTACCACATGTAGGACACTCGAAAGGTCTCTCTCCTGTATGAACCAATAAGTGTTCCTTCATACTGTTTATTCGTGTAAAGGATTTTCCACATGTAGCACACTTGTAAGGTCTCTCCCCTGTATGGACCAATTTATGTCGCTTCATACTACCTATTTGGTTAAAGGATTTTCCACATGTAGAGCACTTGTAAGGTCTCTCTCCTGTATGAACCAATGTATGTGTCTTCATATTGCCTAGTTTTGCAAAGGATTTTCCACATGTAGTGCACTTATAAGGTCTCTCCCCTGTATGAACCAATAAATGTCTCTTTATACTCGGTTTTCTTGCAAAGGATTTTTCACACATAGTGCACTTATAAGGTCTCTCCCTCGTTTGAATTTTGGTACGCTCCTCTATATGGCTTTGCAATTTGAAGAATTTAGTACACTTCCTAAAGTGTATTAACAAATGACTCTTAACTTTGTTTAGTTGGAGAAATGTTTTCTCACACGTCAAACATTTAAAGGGACGCTCTCCAGTGTGATACATTACATGGACTTTCATTGCGAATCGAGTTGAACAGCTTTGTCCACATATTGGACACTTGTGATCAAAATGTTTGAAGCTAGTTAACATTTTCTACTTTTCAATTTTAACACAGTGAATCTTATCATATAAGATATAAGGAGATCTTGTTAGAAATCTCAACAAATCATAGAGAATTGTATCAATGTAAATAGTAAATTTGTTTTTAGGACTTGTTAAATGTACAGCAGTTACATGATAGGCTACGTACGTATCACTCATTCAACATTGAATCTTCTTGTTTTCAAATCTTGCTATGCAAATTAGAATTTCACAATATACTTGAGGGTTTACTTTTTCTCATGTCTTTCTTTATTCTTCTATTGTTTTATATTAACTCTTAAATCAATATAATCTGATGTTTTATTTCCTTTTATCGTCTCGACCTACAACAAAAAAGTTTGTTATAATTAAAATGTAGTTTACCAGAACAAATTACTGAATTTAATTTGTTTAGTGCTACAAAATCTATATCTATACTATTATATAAAAATCTAATGGTGTCTGTCTGTATGTGTATTACTAATAGGTGCAAAAACTACTGAACCAACTGGGCTAAAATTTTACTAAAATATAGTTACCATACCAAGGACCATTATAGGACTATTCACATTTGGATACTGACCGTAGGCTTTGCCCCTTTGGCTTTAAAAGTTCTGAGGTGAAGATTTTAAAAGTAAATATTGATTGGTCTCCATGGCTGTGATGAGGACACTAACAATGTTTGTTTACATTTGCTTTGACATTTAAATGTAAATAAGAAGAACTGCTAAACTGCATAACTTTAGACAGCTGATACAAAGAAATTAAATATAATATTTTCCATAACTACTATGCGGTAGGTTTATTTTAATCTAACCTTTTATCATGGATTATTTATTCTAAAACTATGTCAATGATTATATAAAAAAAAGATTCTATAACCGTTGCTGTATCAACTACCGGTATCAACTGCGGCTCTGCTTTGGATTTTTTTAAAGCGCCTAAGTTATCAAAATAATATTATTGATATGATTTCATGGAAACAGTATGAAAATTACAATGTATAGATGTTTTATATGAATTTGGAGGCTACTTCAAATAAATTCTAACTGCTTCACATGTGTTAGATTAACTTTACTTAACCTGCACATCACATTGTTTTTCTTTTTTTATATATGTATATTTAGGTAAATTAAGTTATTGTGTTTTGCTAAACCTATGCTTAAATTAAACTAAAGAATATCATCAATAACTTGAGTTTTTTTTTATCTGTTGTAAATGTGTACCGGTAACTATAATTAATTATCAAATGGTAATACAAAATACTCTTATTTTATCTTAACATAGCTTTCAGTTCACATTTGCTTTATTTGATAAATTTATTATTTATATTTTGCCTCACCACTGATTAAATTAAACCAAGGAAAATATCATAAAACTAAGCAGTACACAGTGTTCCTTTGTTTCTAAAATCAATGAAATATCTATTACTATGTCTACTTAATGGTAAGTGTTCAAAGTGTAAAGACAATGGACGATGGAACTGATTAAAAGAACTGGTTTGTATATTAAGTTGTTTGTTGATATTTTTGTAGAGTAGAATCAGAGATGCAGTGAAACATATACTGTATTTGCCATTACATTTTTTAGTCCTTGATGTTTTGATAATCATATTAGTTTTGTCTACTGTCTTTAATGCTAAATTATTTGTTTAAAATTTTTTATAGTACCTATAGCTATAGTTTCTTTAATATTTCAAAAGACTGTATTGGTAAGGCACAGCAATATTTCTAAAGTTTTTAACAGCTGACTTAGTTTTGCTAATGATTTATTGTGAGTGAAGAAACTGAAGATGGAAGGGTTTGTGAATTAATATAAAGAAGAGTGAAATTTTAAAATAGTGTTCATTTAAATTTAATACCTAATTAGTAATAACTTCAAAATTTAAATTTAAAATGTCAATAATAAATAAAAAGATATGTAATTAAGGGAGATGAAATGGTGGTACCCACTACTTACCAGATTTAAAGTCATAACTTAAACGTTTCTATTAAGGCCATAAAAGTTGAATTTCGTTTCTAAAAGCATTGGCGGATGTGTATCTATTATATGCAACCAATGTAAAGATTAAAATGTTTCTATTTTGGGTCCTCTTCCCGTTGCAAAGCACGGGTACAACAGCTAGTAACATATATAGCTGTTCTTCAAGGTGTACAACATTAGAGAATATCAAAATAAGTATCTTATATATGGAAAAAATTTAGGTTTTTTCGAGTTTATTTGGCTTCTCTACCCGACAGATTTTCGTGATTAAGGTCTTAAATTGAAGGCATGCACGCAAGATTTCACATCAAGCAATTACTGGATAAACTCACAATTTGAAAAAGTTTTTTATTAATACATAAAAGTTACAACTATATAATCTTATATATTTGGATCGAAGAACCTTTAGTGAAATACCAGCTTTCATTTAAGCTATTAGTTATTCAAATCGGGCGAGTTTCAACCAAACGCAAGGTGAACCAAAATAAAAATTATTCTCAAGGTTTATCTATGATTAAAACTCAATAGCTCCAGGATTGTTTGGTTTTTTAGCGAATTTCCCTATAGGGAAGTAGCTATTACCGTAGGTCTCATGGTAAGACTTAGGCCCGGGACCGATTTACTTTTTCATTTTGATGTCCCCAGAGGCCAAAAACACCATTCGTTCAAATTTTTATATATGTATATATATATCTACTAGCTGACCCGGCGAACTTCGTATCGCCTAAGTTATAGGTTTCCCCTAAGACAGACCGATGGAAAGAAAGTACCGTTACGTTTAATTTTCAAGATGATCTCGTTCGCATCGCTCAATCACGTCCTGGTTGAAGTTCGTTCGCTACGCTCACTCACCTTTGGGTTGGAGCTCGTTCGCTACGCTCACTCACCTTTAGGTTGGAGCTCGTTCGCTGCGCTCACTTGCCTTCAGGTTAGCTCGTTCGCTACGCTCACTCGCCTCCAGGTTGAAGTTCGTTCGCTACGCTCACTCACCTTTTGGTTGCAAATTAGCTGTTGTCATAAATGTAAAAGAAATAATAGTGCTGCACCCTGTTGGTAATCCTTGTAACTTTAATGCTATTGAACATCATAGAACAGAACCAACTTGTTTAATTGAAACAGCTGTTAAGATTCATTAATTCCATTTCTCATAAGGTTAACATGGGAAACTCCAGAGCCACTGGGGCGGAGCCCTTTTAAGAATTTCGAAACGGGAAATAGTTTACGTCCGATTCGCATACCTACAGAATTTACACACCAAATTTCATAACGATCGGTGAAGTCGTTCCGGAGGAGTTTGCAGACAAACACTGTGACACGAGAATTTTATATATTAGATATATATAATTCTGTAAGACCAAATTTTTACCAGAAAATTGTGGACGTCTGGTAAGTCGCAGAAAGGTGGGAGGGGTCTTAAATTAAAGTGCTTGACCCCAGGGACTCGGGAAAAATAGTAGAATTCCCATAAAGTAACCATAAAACGAGATATAACGTAAAATGTTCTCCATAAGAAAAGCATTAGAAGCCATTTACTGCTGATTTTTGTTTACTTCAATTACTTCAATACAGCTGATCGTGATTTATCATCAAGCCAGTATAAGCAACGACAGCATTAATTTGGATTACTTATTTGCCAGTCAATTCTGTAACGTACTATATAAAACCAGGGATAACGTTACCTGTAAAAATTAAGACTTTTTAGTTACGTTATGGAATGGGGAAATAAATAATTTTACTGTGAAACTTTTCAAATTTGTGTATTTTTAACATTAAATAACCACATTGACTAAATAATTAACGATTCAAGATTAAATGGAACACTTCTGCTTTGTTTTTATTTCAAAACATATGTTCTAGATTTATTCTACACTTTTCTTTCATTTAAATTTGAGATTTATTGTAGTGTTTAATCAATACTTTGTATGAAGTGGAATAACCTCAATGGCTTTAGAAAATAACCTGGAAATAAAGATGGAATAGGTTCGTACAGGAAATATATATTTGTTAATTAAGTAAGTACTATGACAAGTTCAAATGGGAGGAAAAACAATATGCTTGGAGATTTTAAACAGGTAGGCCTACTGTCCGTTGCTCGCAAAAGAGTTAAGAATCAGCCAATGATTAGGCCTAATTTGATAGAATAGGCTATGTAACGTCAATCGCACCTTTAAGAGGAATACCACCACTTAAACTTTCACTAATTGTAGTTTTTTTTATGTTGATCAGAAGAAATCTAGGGTTAAGTTTGGTCAATGGGATGCCTTTACTTTACACTAATAAACCCCAACAAAAGAAGTATAAACTTAGAATTATTTACTGGGTAGGGATGCTAATTTAGCGGGTTTGGCAAAGAACTAAGCTTACCTCAAAACACCTTTATTTGCCTTTTCTTATTTGATGAAGACAATTTCCAAAGTCCCAATCAGGGAGGTCTTTTTTATCACAATCAACCACAAGACCAAAGCTACCTTAATAAACCATCATTTATTCAAAAACAATTATATGTTTGCTGTCTCTATCAGAGTTAAAAGCTATGTATTTATTCAAATGATTTATTGAAAATAACATCATCAAAGGCAAACAAAGACAAAGAACAAACAGTTTTTACACAAAAGATATGGCGTACAGGGATATCTATTCTGACACAGCGATAAATATATTTCTTAGTTTGTTTGAATATTGGAATAATTTGTTTTATATTATTGAGCTTTTTAGGGACTTATGTCCCTACAAGCCACTAGTATATATATATATATGTGTGTCCGTGAACACGATAACTTGAGTAATTTTTATCCGATTTTGATGAAATTTGGTTTGAAGGTGTAAGGCGGGATAAACTTGAATGAGTTCGCGATCCAGCATGATCGGACCATGGGAACAGGGTTTTATGGGGTAAAAATTGGTTTTTCTCACTTTTGACCCTCAAAACACAAAATTTCCCAATTTTTCTCTAATTCTTCTTAAAGAGCTTAAAAAAACAAACAATTCAGTATATCAAAGTGTTTTTGTACAGTTATTGGTTACGGAGAAAACTAAAAAAATTGTAAATTTAAAATTCCCATGTTATTCTTATGGAGAATATTGTAAAATGTTGTAGTTTGCTTGTTTATGGATATCTTTTGATCAAACTTGGCAAATATATTCATTTTATACTAAGCAATAATTATTTTACTTAAAACACACACTTTATTAGTTTCCTTGTAGCAGCAAACCTAGGTACTCGTTAAACCTAATTTTATTTAAATAGATCAATTGAAAATCAATTCAGCCAAATGGAAATTCGCTTAGACGGCAGGTTAGCTGCGGCGGGGGTATTTTTATATGTTTTGGACTCAAAATTATCAGTAAATTATAGATTTTTATTTGAGCTATTATTTGACCAGTTAAGCTCACGATCCTGTATTAATCAATCCAAAATCATAAATTTGATCATTTCTTGGATATTATATATATAGGTAGTCTATATAAACGCTTCGGAGCAGCATGGGCCTCTAGTTTGTTATCAAATTAGATTCTATTTTCTTATGTCTGAACTCATCTATCTTCACTTCTGAAAAAGATCACACCTGATTCAAAATGTGTATCATTAAAGCCTGAAGTGCTTAGCATTGAAAATAAAATCCCACTTATCAACAAAAATACCTCAAATCCTAACATTGTCTAATTACAACAACCTGATGAAGAAAAGCTTTCTGCAGCAACTTGATATAAAAAATAACCATATGTTCTGTAAAGAGTATATAAATATATTTTATATTATATAAATATGATATAATATTTTTAAATTGTCGCCATTTTGTTTCTTGAATTTTAAAAATTTTCGTAAATTTGTTGTAGTTTTGTTTAGACGTCATAAATGTTTATGCAAAGTTTAAATTACATATATTTTACCACTTTTTAGAAAACAATTAATAGGTAAAAAAAAAAACAGAATGGTGGCAGTGTGAGTAACTAAGGACTTCTGGCCAATTTAAATATGATTTTTGGATATGTTTCTTAAACCAGGAATAATACCCAAAAATATCCGACACGAATTCTGAAACACCATGTAAAACTAGGGGTTGAGTTTTGGTTTATACTTAGTTCGTAATATTTGTTTAACGAGGTTTTAAATGACCGAAATAACAAGAATCAAATTGTAAACAAAACATGAACTCAGGAGTTCACCGTACAGAACTAACAATAAAATTGTAACTTAAGGTTAAAATACCTTAATACTTTTGTAAATACCTAAATACTTTCTGAATATGACCACTTCGTCGGGTTGAAACCGGCCACCCCCCAACGGTGACATTAATCACATGACAGGTATTTTAATTTCTAGTAATAATTTAAATTTTGATCAGGAATAAGAATAAGAATGTATTTATTTTCTTGAAAGGAATATTACAAAACAATACAAACGATAAAACTATAACATAACATTGATACTGTTGTTTTTTTCATTCGTAAAAGAAATAAAATAGATTAACTTCCAACAAAATAATTACACTTTATATAATTTAAGCTACTTCATATAAACTAAGAACAATATAAAATCAATTAAATCCTCATGTAAGAAAATTTAGGACCTTCAATGGCATAGCCTGTGTGGAAGTTCCTTATCTATTACATTGACAACAAAATGTGTGGAATAGTTTACAAAGCTTAACATTACTGACCCATTTATTGATAGATTAAAAACATAATTATCTCAGTTCACAATTACTAAGATTCATGTACATTAATTCTAAACTACCAAAAAGACAACGTATAATATAATGAAAACACAGAATTAATATTTTACGCAAGGATTTTTACTAAACATTCAAAATTAACAGCTGTTAAAGGCCAAGTCTTAAGTTTCTTTGAAAATCTACCTAAAGTTTTACAATTTTGACAATATTTTTTGGTAATTTACAAACTTTAGACCTACAAAACAGTAACTATTAAGGAAATGTGTTAAATTTAAGGAGGCAAAGAACAAAAATGAAAAAAGTTGTCTTCAGCTATTCTATAAGGATGAGAAATCTAGTGAGAGAGTATGTTTTATCTGTGGTAGAACCATGTAGAACATAGAGTTTAATTGATAATGAAGCGTTGTTAGCTTAATAGCTTTAGAAAAATACCTTAAACTAATTTTTTAAATTAATTTTTATGGAGAATAAATGGTTGTAGTTTGCTTATTTTCGGATATTGTATTTTGACTCAATTTACAGTTTTTACTTAATACTAACAATTAACCCTTCCAGGGCTAAATTAAATGAAGGGCTGGAGCTTAATTATTTTTTGCCAAAAATGAAAAACTAAAGTGGTTGTGTTTTGTATTTATTTCACTTGAAATAATTCATGGATCATAAAAAGATTTTCCTTAGGGCTGAACTAATTTTTGTACAAAAGTTATGAAGAAAATAAAATTTGATTTGACGGATATATCCGTCTTTGGCCCACAAAAAACATAAGGTGGACGGATATATCCGTCTGCCGCCCTCAGTGATAATCACAAAATATGAACACTGCCAATAATCTTGAGTATTCTTGTGGGCGGTAGACGGATATATCCGTCAACCTTAGGCTATTCCTTCTCTTGTTTTATTTTTATCCATAAAAATGTATCTATCATTCTGAAGTAAATCTAAACCACTCAGTTTTGCTCCCATGTCCTCAATCCCATTCCCCGCCAAGACTTCCACTACGTAAAGACTGTTCTTCAGGTGCATCATATCCATCACATTCCATATTATTATTTTCCCTGCCAAGTATAAAACCCCTCTCAGACATACTTTTATTAAGCATCTCAATAACATCTTCAATTTTCAGATTGTTTGCATTAGTAACTTTAGCTCAATAACATAAAAATAAAGTACAAAACACAAAATGTAATCATCACTCACTTACAACCATGTGTGAAGTGACAGCAATATTTACTTACGCACACTCTATGGTGCAAAATAACTGAAACAGCTGCGGCAATTGTTATTGCCAACCACAAAAACAAAATAACCCATTTATAATGCAGTGTAATGTTTATTACCGTATTATAAACATTGTGTATCAATTCGCTTTTTGGACGGATATATCCGTCTTTATCCCAGAAAAGAAATTTCTCGGGACGGATATATCCGTTTTCAGCCCGAAAAGTAAACAAAGATTGACGGATATATCCGTCCATAGCCCTGGAAGGGTTAACATTTCACTAAAGTATACGTAAATACCTTACCCGCAAGAGCAAATCTAAGTAATCATTAAAAATTTTGTTATTGAAAACTATTGATTGGTTAAGTTAGGCTGAAGTAAACAAAACAGAATACAGCAATATAAACAAATGGTAATATTAAGGTAATAAATTAAAACAATAACAAACAAATACTATAAGTACAACTGAGGTATTTTAAACATAAGGTATAAGGACAGTTCTCTTTAGAAAAGAATTACAACCTTAAAGGACAATTTATTAAATGATGGATATAGTGGTAGCAAAACGGGAGTGCCGATGGAGACCAGGTCAAGTCCCTTTAAACGCACGCACCCCCACAGGTCTCCATCGGCACTCCCGTTTTGCTACCACTTTAGTTTTGAGCAAGGCTTCTTATTATGACGAACATTTTAAGTCTACTGCATAGATTATGGGGGTGTGACTTTTAGTTTTCTCAAAATTTCAAGGGTACTTTGGGATTTTTATTTATAAAGAATGTATCTCACATTTTAAAGGAAATATTTTTGTTAAATGCAATCATAATTGTAGCTAATATTGCTTTTCCCTGTACCACCCCATTCTTCTCAGGAAGGTAATTTACTTAGTATTTATCATATTTCTTATGTTTGTATATATTAATGAAGATATGCCTATTGCCTAGCGACTTAGAGGCTAGTTCAAAATTTACAGCTTTTAACACAATTGGAAATAACAAAATGATGAAGGGAACTTAAAAATGATTCGTTCTTAAATAGAGAAGATAGCTAAACATTTAATAGGAAATTGCCAAAAACACACAAGACGCACAATCTATGATGAAGAAAAACAAAAATGATCAACTAATAATATGCATAAAAACCTATTGATTTTTGGTTGGACCTTTTCGTTGGAAGTGCCAGATGAAAAAGTGCATGGGTTGTAACAACATAACACACAATTTAATACAAACAATATTATTTGAGTACTAAATTAAAAAAGAGCAGTTTGCAAAAATATTATGCCACAAAAAAAAACTAAGCTAAAGCAGTTGGAAGTTGTGTTTAAATAAACTGTTATTTTCTCTTTGATTATTTGAGTTTTTTATTTTATTGTACTTAAAAACCAATTTCAATACATTTCCACTCATGTAACTTTAATAAATTCATGTTTAGTTTAGTTTATATAGAATTTCCACATGAACCTTTTTAATATCCTTTTTTATACCGCTTATGAATGCAAAACAATTTTTTACATGTGGTACACTTTTGAGGTATCTCTACTGTGAACCATTATATGTTTCTTCATACTGCTTTTAGTTATGAACACTTGCAATATGTTTCTTCAGATCAATTTTGACAGTAAATGATGTTTCACATATAGTGCACTTATGACGGAGCTCCCCTGTATGAACCAATGTATGTGTCTTCATATTGCCTATTGTTGTAAAGGATTTTCCACATGTAGCACACTCGTAAGGTCTCTCACCTGTATGAATCAATGTATGTTTCTTCATACTGCTTTTAGTTGTAAAGGATTTTCCACATGCAGCACACTTATAGGACCTCTCTCCTATATGAACACTTTCAATATGTTTCTTCAGATCACTTTTGACAATAAATGATGTTTCGCATTTAGTGCACTTATAAGGGCGCTCCCCTGTATGAAACAATGTATGTGTCTTCATATTGCTTATTGTTGTAAAGGTTTTTCCACATGTAGCACACAAGTAAGGTCTCTCCCCTGAATGAACCAATAAATGTGTCTTCATACTGCCTATTGTTGTAAAGGTTTTTCCACATGTAGCACACATGTAAGGTCTCTCTGCTGTATGGACAAATGTATGTTTCTTCAGATCACTTTTGGAAGTAAATGCCTTTTCACATTTAGTGCACTTATAAGGTCTCTCTCCTGTATGAACCAAGGTATGTTTCTTCATACTGCCTATTGTTGTAAAGGATTGTCCACATGTAGCACACATGTAAGGTCTCTCCCCTGTATGGACCAATGTATGTGTCTTCATACTGCCTATTGTTGTAAAGGTTTTTCCACATGTAGCACACATGTAAGGTCTCTCTCCTGTATGGACTAATGTATGTGGCTTCAAACTGCCGAATGATTTGTAGGATTTTCCACATGTTTTACACTTATACGGCCTCTCTGCTGTATGGACAAATGTATGTTTCTTCAGATCACTTTTGGAAGTAAATGCCTTTTCACATTTAGTGCACTTATAAGGTCTCTCTCCTGTATGGACCAATGTATGTAGCTTCATACTACCTATTTGGTTAAAGGATTTTCCACATGTAGCACACTCATAAGGTCTCTCTCCTGTATGAACCAATGTATGTGTCTTCATATTGCCTATTCGTGTAAAGGATTTTCCACATGTAGCACACTCGTAAGGTTTCTCTCCTGTATGAACCAATGAATGTGTCTTCATATTGCCTATTGTTTTAAAGGATTTTCCACATGTAGCACACTCGTAAGATCTTTCTCCTGTATGAACCAATGCATGTGTCTTCATATTGCCTATTGTTCTAAAGGATTTTCCACATGTAGCACACTTATAAGGTCTCTCTCCTGTATGAACCAATGAATGTCTCTTTATATCTTGTTTTCTTGCAAAGGATTTTTCACACATAGTGCACTTATAAGGTCTCTCCCTCGTTTGAATTTTTGTACGCTCCTTTATTTGGCTTTGAAATTTAAAGAATTTAGTACACTTTTTAAAGTGTATTAACAAATGACTCTTAACTTTGTTTAGTTGTAAAAATGTTTTCTCACACGTCAAACATTTAAAGGGACGCTCTCCAGTGTGATACATTATATGGACCTTCATTGCGGATCGAGTAGAACAGCTTTGTCCACATATTGGACACTTGTGAGCAAAATGGTTGAAGCATGTTAACATTTTCTACTTTTCAATTTTATCACGGTGAATCTTATCTCATAAGCAGTATCTTGTCAGAAATCTCAACAAATCACAGAGAATTGTATCAATGTAAGTAGTAAATTTGTTTTTAGGACTTGTGTGTACAGCAGTTACATGATAGGCTACGTACGTATCACTCATTCAACATTGAATCTTCTTGTTTTCAAATTTTGCTATGCATATTAGAATTTCACAATATACTTGAGGGTTTACTTTTTCTCGTGTCTTTCTTTATTCTTCTATTGTTTTATATTAACTCTTAAATCAATATAATCTGATGTTTTATTTCTTTTTACCGTCTCGACCTACAACAAAAAAGTTTGTTATAATTAAAATGTAGTTTACCAGAACAAATTACTGAATTTAATTTGTTTAGGGCTACAAAATAACATATATAGCTGTTCTTCAAAGTGTACAACATTAGAGACTATCAAAATAAGTATCTTATATATGGAAAAAATTTAGGTTTTTTCGAGTTTATTTTGCTTCTCTACCCGACCGATTTTCGTGATTAAGGTCCTAAATTGAAGGCATGCACGCAAGATTTCACATCAAGCAATTACTGGACAAACTCACAATTTGAAAAAGTTTTGTATTAATACATACCAGTTACAACTATATAATCCTATATATTTTGATCGAAGAACCTTTAGTGAAATACCAGCTTTCATTTAAGCTATTATTAAGCTATATTCAAATCGGACGAGTTTCAACCAAATGCAAGGTGAACCAAAATAAAAAATATTATTCTTAAGGTTTATCTATGATTAAAACTCAATAGCTCCAGGATTGTTTGGGGTTTTTTATATGTTTTGGACTCAAAATTATCAGTAAATTATAGATTTTTATTTGAGCTATTATTTGATCAGTTAAGTTAATGATCCTGTATTAATCAATCCAAAATCATAAATTTGATAATTTCTCGGATATTATATATATATATATATATATAAACGCTTCGGAGCAACATGGGCCTCTAGTTTGTTATCAAATTATATTCTATTTTCTTATGTCTAAACTCATCTATCTTCACTTCTGAAAAAGATCACATCTGATTCAAAATGTGTATCATTAAAGCCTGAAGTGCTTAGCATTGAAAATAAAATCCCACTTATCAACACAAATACCTCAAATCCTAACATTGTCTAATCACAACAACCTGCAGCTGTTAAAAGCCGCTTTTATCTTTTTTGAAAATCCACCTAAAGATTTACGATTTTAACAATATTTTTTTGTAATTTACGAACAAACTTTGGACCTACAAAACAGTAACTATTAAGGAAATGTGTTAAATTTAAGGAGGTAAAGAACAAAAATGAAAAAAAAAAAAAAATTGTATTCAGCTATTCTATAAGGATGAGAAATCTAGTAAGGGAGTATGTTTTATCCATGGTAGAACATAGAGTTTAATTGATATTGAAGCGTTGTAAGCTTAATAGCTTTAGAAAAAGGCCTTAACCTAATTTTTTAAATAAATTTTTATGGATAATAAATGGTTGTAGTTTGCTTATTTTCGGATATTGTATTTTGATTCAATTTACTTAACTATAAAAAATATTGTTATTGAAAACTAATGATTGGTTAAGTTAGGCAGAAATAAACGAAACAGAATACAGCAATAGAAACAAATGATGATATTAAGGTAATAAATTGAAACAATAACAAACAAATAAGTACAGGTGAGGTATTTTAAACATAAGGTACATGGACAGTTCTCTTTAGAAAGGAATTACGACCTTAAAGGACAATTTATGAAATTATGGAGAGTTTTGAACAAGGCTTCTCGTTATGACGAACATTTTAAGTCTAGATTATGGGGGTGTGACTTTTAGTTTTCTCACAAGTTCATGGATGGGTACTTTGGGATTTTTATATGGATGAATGTATTTCACAATTTAAAGGAATTATTTTGGTGAAAATTCAATAATAATTTTATAATTATTTATTAATATAATTATTATTATAGCTAATAAAGCTTTTCCCTGTACCACCCCATTCTTGTCAGGAAGGTTATTTAATAAGTATTTATTATTTTGCTTATTTTTGTCTATATTAATGAAGATATGACTATTGCCTAGCGACTTAGAGGCTAGTTCACAATTTACAGCTTTTTAACACAATTGGAAATAACGTAATAAATTGATGAAAGGGACATAAAGATGATTCGATCTTAAATAGAGAAGATAACTAATCATTAAATAGGACATTGCCAAAAACACATAAGACACACAATCTATGATAAATAAAACACATTTATTTACAGTCACTAAAATTGTTATATTATACGTTATGCTCATGGGTGGGAGCATGGTTTGGCTTAGCGTTACACATCGTAATAAGGAGGATGGAGGGGTGTTTCAAGATCGTTCCGGTAACGAACTAAAAAATATATTTTTTCAAAGTACCAAAATGATTAACAAATGATATGCATAAAAACCTTTTGGTTTTTGGTTGGACATTTACGTTGGAAGTGCCAGATGGAAAAGTGCTTAAAATGGGTTGTAACAACATAACACACAATTGAATACAAACAATATTGTTTGAGTACTAAATTTTAAAAAAGAGCAGTGTGCAAAAATTCTCTGCTACCTACAAAAAGCTAAGCTAAACCAGTTGTGTTTAAACAAACTGTTAATTTTCTTCTTAAATTTTTTGATTTTATTGTACTTACAAACCAATTTCAACACATTTTCACTCATGCACCTTTGATAAATTCATGTTTAGTTTAGTTCATATCGTATTTCCAGATGAACCTTTAATATCCTTATTTATACAGCTTATGAATGCGTAACATTTTTTACATGTGGTACACTTTTGATGTATCTCTACTGTGGACCAATGTATGTTTCTTCATATTACTTTTTGTTGCAAAGGATTTTCCACATGTAGCACACTTAAAGGGCCTCTCTCCTATATGAACAGTTGCAATATGTTTCTTCAGGGCACTTATGAAAGTAAATGATGTTTCACATGTAGTGCACTTATGACGGCGCTCTCCTGTATGAACCAATGTATGTGTCTTCATACTGCCTATTGTTGTAAAGGATTTTCCACATGTAGCACACATGTAAGGTCTCTCCCCTGTATGAATCAATGTATGTGTCTTCATACTGCCTATTTTTGTAAAGGATTTTCCACATGTAGCACACATGTAAGGTCTCTCCCCTGTATGAACCAAAGTGTGTGTCTTCATAATCTTTATTGTTGTAAAGGTTTTTCCACATGTAGCACACATGTAAGGTCTCTCCCCTGTATGAATCAAAGTATGTGACTTCATACTGCCTATTTGTGTAAAGGATTTTCCACATGTAGCGCACTCGTAAGGTCTCTCTCCTGTATGAACCAATGTATGTGTCTTCATACTGCTTATTTGTGTAAAGGTTTTTCCACATGTAGCACACATGTAAGGTCTCTCCTTTGTATGAATCAATTTATGTGAATTCATACTGCCTTTTTGTGTAAAGGATTTTCCACATGTAGCACACTCGTAAGGTCTCTCTCCTGTATGAACCAACGTATGTAGCTTCATACAGCCTATAGTTCTAAAGGATTTTCCACATGTAGCACACTCGTAAGGTCTCTCTCCTGTATGAAGCAATGTATGTGTCTTCATATTGCCTAGTGTTGCAAAGGATTTTCCACATGTAGTGCACTTATAAGGTCTCTCTCCTGTGTGAACAAATGTATGTTTCTTCAGAACACCTTTAGAAGTAAATGCTTTTTCACATTTAGTGCACTTATAAGGTCTCTCCCCTGTATGGACCAATGTATGTTTCTTCATACTGCCTATTGATGTAAAGGATTTACCACATGTAGGACACTCATAAGGTCTCTCTCCTGTATGAAGCAATGTGTGTGTCTTCATATTGCCTATTGTTGTAAAGGATTTTCCACACGTAGGACACATGTAAGGTCTCTCCCCTGTATGAACCAATGCATGTCTCTTCATACTGCCTTTTGATGTAAAGGATTTACCACATGTAGGACACTCATAAGGTCTCTCTCCTGTATGAAGCAATGTATGTGTTCTCATACTGAGTATTGTTGTAAAGGATTTTCCACACGTAGGACACATGTAAGGTCTCTCCCCTGTATGAACCAACGTATGTCTCTTCATACTGCTTATTTGTGTAAATGATTTTCCACATGTAGCACACTCGTAAGGTCTCTCACCTGTATGAACCAATGTATGTGTCCTCATACTGCCTATTCTTGTAAAGGTTTTTTCACATTCAGTACACTTATAGGGTCTTTTATGAATTTTCGAATGCTCCTTCATATGGCTTTGGAGTTGAATGGATTCCCCACATATAGGAGACTTCCTTAAGTGTATCAACAAATGACTTTTTACTTGGTTTAGTTGGAAAAATGTTTCCTCACATGTCAAACATTTAAAAGGCCGCTCTCCAGTGTGATATAATACGTGGACCTTCATTGCAGATCGATTTGGACAACTTTGCCCACATATTGGACACTTGTGAGAAAAGTGTTTTGAGCAAGTTAACATTTTCTAATTTTGGCAACTTTTATCACGGTGATCTAATCATGGTGACTAGTGATCTTATCACATAGCAGTATCTGATCAGAAATTTCTAAAAATTTATAGAGAACTGTATCTATTTAAAAGGTAACCTTTTCTTTAGGACTTGTAAAATGTTCATCAGTTAAATGATAGGCTGTGTATCTCTCATTCAACATTGAATCTTCTTGTCATCAAATCTTGCTATGCATATTAGAATTTTAGAATATACTTGAGGGGTTACTTTTTTCTCTTGTCTTTCTTCATTCTTCTTTTGTATTTTATTAATTTTTAAATCAATATAATCTGATGTTTTAATTCGTTTTATCGCATCAACCTACAACAAAACAGTTTATTTTAATTAAAATATAGTTTAACAAAACAAATTACTGAATTTAATTTTTTTTTGGGATAAAAAATAACAATTATAGCTGTTCTTTAAAGTGTACATCATTAGAAACTATCAAAATAAGTATCTTATATATTGAAAAAAATTTGGTTTTTTTCGAGTTCATTTGGCTTCTCTACCCAACCGATTTTCTTGATTGAGGTCTTAAATTGAAGGCATGCACGCAAGATTTCACATCAAGCAATTACTTTGATCGAAGAACCTTTAGTGAAATACCAGCTTTCATTTAAGCTATTAGTTATTCAAATCGGACGAGTTTCTATCAACCGCAAGTTGAACAACCAAAATACAAAATATTATTCTTAAGGTTTATCTATGATTAAAACTCAATAGCTCCAGGATTGTTTGGGGTTTTTTATATTTTTTGGACTCAAAATTATCAGTAAATTATAGATTTTTATTTGAGCTATTATTTGATCAGTTAAGCTCATGATCCTGTATTAATCAATCTAAAATTATAAATTTGATCATTTCTCGGATATTGTATATATATATATATTAACGCTTCGGAGCAGCATGGGCCTCTAGTTTGTTATCAAATTAGATTCTATTTTCTTATGTCTGAACTCATCTATCTTCACTTCTGAAAAAGATCACATCCGATTCAAAATGTGTATCATTAAAGCCTGAAGTGCTTAGCATTGAAAATAAAATCCCACTTATCAACACAAATACCTCAAATCCTAACATTGTCTAATTACAACAACCTGATGAAGAGAACCCTTTCTGCAGCAACTTGAAATAAAAAATAACCATATGTTCTGTAAAGAGTATATAAATATATTTAATATTATATAAATATAATATTATATTTTTAAATTGTTGCCATTTTCTTTCTTTAATTTTAAAAAATTTTGTAAATTTGTTGTAGTTTTGTCTAGATGTCATAAATGTTTATGTAAAGTTTAAATTACGTATCTTTTACCACTTTTTAGAAAACAATTAATAGGTAAAAAAAACAAAATGGTGGCAGTGTGAGTAACTAAGGACTTCCGGCCAATTTAAATATGATTTTTGGATATGTTTCTTACCCAGGAATATTACCCTAAAATATCCGACACGAATTCTGAAACACCCTGTATAACTAGGGGATGAGTTTTGGTTTAAACTTAGTTCGTATTATTTGTTTAACGAGGTTTTAAATGACCGAAATAACAAGAAACAAATTGTAAACAAAACATGAACTCAGGAGTTCACCGTACAGAACTAACAATAAAATTGTAACTTAAGGTTAAATTAATACTTTTATCTGAATATGACCCCTTCGTCGGGTTGAAACCGGCCACCCCCCAACGGTGACATTAATCACATGACAGGTATTTTAATTTCTAGTAATAATTTAAATTTTGATCAGGAATAAGAATAAGAATGTATTTATTTTCTTGAAAGGAATATTACAAAACAATACAAATGATAAAACTATAACATAACATGGATACTGTTGTTTTTTTCATTCGTAAAATAAAATAGATTAACTTCCAACAAAATAATTACACTTTATATAATTTAAGCTACTTCATATAAACTAAGAACAATATAAAATCAATTAAATCCTCATGTAAGAAAATTTAGGACCTTCAATGGCCTGTGTGGTTTAGGGTTCATAGCCTGTGTGGAAGTTCCTTATCTGTTACATTGACAACAAAATGCTGGAATAGTTTACAAAGCTTAACATTACTGACCCACTTATTGATAGATTAAAAACATAATTATCTCAGTTCACAATTACTAAGATTCATGTACATTAATTCTAAACTACCAAAAAGACAATGTATTATAATAAAAACACAGAATTAATTATTTATGCAAGGATTTTTACTAAACATTCCAAATTAACAGCTGTTAAAAGCCAAGTCTTAAGTTTCTTTGAAAATCTACCTAAAGTTTTACAATTTTAACAATATTTTTTGGTAATTTACAAACAAACTTTGGACCTACAAAACAGTAACTATTAAGGAAATGTGTTAAATTTAAGGAGGCAAAGAACAAAAATAAAAAAAAATTGTCTTCAGCTATTCTATAAGGATGAGAAATCTAGTGAGAGAGTATGTTTTATCTATGGTAGGACCTTGAGTTTAATTGATAATGAAGCGTTGTTAGCTTAATAGCTTTAGAAAAAGACCTTAAACTAATTTTTTTAATTAATTTTTATGGAGAATAAATGGTTGTAGTTTGCTTATTCTGATATTGTATTTTGACTCAATTTAGAGTTTTTACTTAATACTTACAATTACGATTAACATTTCACTAAAGTATACTTAACTACCTTACCCGCAAGAGCAAATCTAAGTAATCATTAAAAATATTGTTATTGAAAACTATTGATTGGTTAATTGATTGGTTAATATATAATGATTCAGAGTGGTAAACACTTCTATTTGTTATTGTGTTTGTTCCTGAAGAAGGCTAATGCCGAAATATAGAATTTTTTTTTAAAGTGTGTGATAAGTTTATTTTGAAAATGATTAAGCCGTTTGGCAATATTATGAAGAAACAATATTGATTGGTTAAGTTAGGCTGAAATAAACAAAACAGAATACAGCAATATAAACAAATGATAATATTAAGGTAATAAATTGAAACAATAACAAACAAATAAGTACAACTGAGGTATTTTAAACATAAGGTATAAGGACAGTTCTCTTTAGAAAAGAATTACGACCTTAAAGGACAATTTATTAAATGATGGATAGTTTTGAGCAAGGCTTCTCATTATGACGAACATTTTAAGTCTACTGTATAGATTATAGGGGTGTGACTTTTAGTTTTCTCAAAATTTCATGGGTACTTTGGGATTTTTATTCATAATGAATGTATGTGTTTTGAAGGAAATATTTTTGTAAAATGCAATAATTATTGTAGCTAATATTGCTTTTCCCTGTACCACCCCATTCTTGTCAGGAAGGTAATTTACTTAGTATTTATTATTTTAATTATGTTTTTATATACTAATGAAGATATGCCTATTGCCTAGCGACTTAGAGGCTAGTTCACAATTTACAGCTTTTTAACACAATTGGAAATAACGAAATGATGAAGGGAACTTAAAAATGATTCGTTCTTAAATAGAGAAGATAGCTAATCAATTAATAGGAAATTGCCAAAAACACATAAGACGCACAATCTATGATAAATAAAACACATTTATTTACAGTCATTAAAATTGTTAAAAGTCCCCATATTACGTTACGCTCATGGGTGGGAGCGTGGTTCTGCTTAGCGTTACACATCGTAATAAGGAGGATGAGTTTCAAAATCGTTTTGGTAACGAACAAAAAATAATTTTTTTCAAAGTACCAAAATGATTAACTAATGATATGCATAAAAACCTATTGATTTTTGGTTGGACCTTTTCGTTGGAAGTGCCGGATGAAAAAGTGCATCAGTTGTAACAACATAACACACAATTTAATACAAACAATATTATTTGAGTACTAAATTAAAAAAAGAGCAGTTTGCAAAAATATTATGCCACATAAAAAAAGCTAAGCTAAAGCAGTTGGAAGTTGTGTTTAAATAACCTGTTAATTTTCTCTTTGATTCTTTGAATTTTTTATTTTATTGTACTTAAAAACCAATTTCAATACATTTTCACTCATGTAACTTTAATAAATTCATGTTTAGTTTAGTTTATATAGAATTTCCACATGAACCTTTTTAATATCCTTTTTTATACCGCTTATGAATGCAAAACAATTTTTTACATGTGGTACACTTTTGAGGTATCTCTACTGTGAACCATTGTATGTTTCTTCATACTGCTTTTAATTATGAACACTTGCAATATGTTTCTTCAGATCACTTTTGACAGTAAATGATGTTTCACATATAGTGCACTTATGACGGCGCTCCCCTGTATGAACCAATGTATGTGTCTTCATACTGCTTATTTGTGTAAATGATTTTCCACATGTAGCACACTTATAGGGCCTCTCCCCTGTATGAACCAATGTATGTGTCTTCATACTGCTTTTTTGTGTAAACGATTTTCCACATGTAGCACACTCGTAAGGTCTCTCTTCTGTATGAACCAAAGTATGTTTCTTCATACCGCCTATTGTTTTAAAGGATTTCACACATGTAGCACACTTGTAAGATCTCTCTCCTGTATGAACCAATGTATGTGTCTTCATATTGCCTATTGATGTAAAGGATTTTCCACATGTAGCACACATGTAAGGTCTCTCTCCTGTATGAACCAATGAATGTGTCTTCATGCTGCCTATTCGTGTAAAGGATTTTCCACATGTAGCACACATGTAAGGTCTCTCTCCTGTATGAACCAATGTATGTGTCTTCATATTGCCTATTGTTGTAAAGGATTTTCCACATGTAGCACACTTATAAGGTCTCTCTCCTGTATGAACCAATGAATGTGTCTTCATATTGCCTATTCGTGTAAAGGATTTTCCACATGTAGCACACTCGTAAGGTCTCTCTACTGTATGAACCAACGTATGTGTCTTCATATTGCCTATTGTTTTAAAGGATTTTCCACATGTAGCACACTCGTAAGATCTTTCTCCTGTATGAACCAATGCATGTGTCTTCATATTGCCTATCGATTTAAAGGATTTTCCACATGTAGCACACTCGTAAGATCTTTCTCCTGTATGAACCAATGCATGTGTCTTCATATTGCCTATTGTTGTAAAGGATTTTCCACATGTAGCACACTTGTAAGGTCTCTCTACTGTATGAACCAATGAATGTGTCTTCATATTGCCTATTGTTTTAAAGGATTTTCCACATGTAGCACACTCGTAAGATCTTTCTCCTGTATGAGCCAATGAATGTGTCTTCATATTGCCTAGTGATGCAAAGGATTTTCCACATGTAGTGCAGTTATAAGGTCCCTCCACTGTATGAACCAATAAATGTCTCTTTATATCTTGTTTTCTTGCAAAGGATTTTTCACACATAGTGCACCTATAAGGTCTCTCCCTCGTTTGAATTTTTGTACGCTCCTTTATTTGGCTTTGAAATTTAAAGAATTTAGTACACTTTTTAAAGTGTATTAACAAATGACTCTTAACTTTGTTTAGTTGTAAAAATGTTTTCTCACACGTCAAACATTTAAAGGGACGCTCTCCAGTGTGATACATTATATGGACCTTCATTGCGGATCGAGTTGAACAGCTTTGTCCACATATTGGACACTTGTGAGCAAAATGTTTGAAGCATGTTAACATTTTCTACTTTTCAATTTTATCACGGTGAATCTTATCTCATAAGCAGTATCTTGTCAGAAATCTCAACAAATCATAGAGAATTGTATCAATGTAAGTAGTAAATTTGTTTTTAGGACTTATGTGTACAGCAGTTACATGATAAGCTACGTACGTATCACTCATTCAACATTGAATCTTCTTGTTTTCAAATTTTGCTATGCATATTAGAATTTATCAATATACTTGAGGGTTTACTTTTTCTCGTGTCTTTCTTTATTCTTCTATTGTTTTATATTAACTCTTAAATCAATATAATCTGATGTTTTATTCCTTTTTACCATCTCGACCTACAACAAAAAAGTTTGTTATAATTAAAATATAGTTTACCAAAACAAATTACTGAATTTTATTTGTTTAGAGGTACAAAATAACATTTATAGCTGTCCTTCAAAGGTTACAACATTAGATACTTTAAAAATAAGTATTTGTGATTAAATTATATTCTCTTCTCTTATTTCTGAACCCATCTATATTTACATCTGAAAAAGATCAAATCTTATTAAAAATGTGTATTATTCCGTTCATATAGTTCAAACAACCAATTCCCAATGATTTAATAATTTATACTCTCTTTAGAATATCATAATGATCCAAATTTAGGCTTTGCTGTCATGCTCAGCATTGAAAATAAAATCCAACTTATCAACAAAATTCCTCAAATCTGAACATAGTGTAATCACACCAACCATTTGAAGAGAAAACTTGCTGCAAGAACTTGAAATAAAAATAATCATTATGTTCTCCAAAGAGTATTGCACTACGTCCAATGAAATAAGTCAGTGGCACGACGTCCAAAATATAATTTTTAAGCTGTCTCACGGCGTCCAAATCTCATCATGCAGATAGATATGTAACAGTGCTTTATTTGACAACTTGTTTTACAAATTTACACAATGTTTTTCTTAGGCACAAAAGACAATAGTCTTTTGACCGTCTGTCTGGTAGAGAAAGTCCACTTCCACTACATAATTACAAGCAACACTGCATTTATACAAAATATAACAAACATAAAAGCTCAAACTAAATTAAAATCTAAAATAAAGTTCAAACTGATTTACTTTCATTACTATTTTTAACTACAAAAAATAAGCTATTGCCTACGCATACCTATCCACACATATGAATATACATATATATCATACCTAGGCTATACTGTACATACATACACACATACAAACATACAGATATATATATTCCAACATACAGTTTTAGAGCTAAACCGAGAATTTCCTTATCAGTCTATGACAGTTATGCAAAAATACCCTAACTTACATAAACAAAGTCATTCTACAATTTCTAGACGTCATGGTCGTTATGAAACTGTTTATTATTTACTGTTTACTGTATATAGTACAGGGCAGATAAAGATTAACCTAGAACAAATTAGTTAAACTCTTCTGGAATGTGTTTGGGACATTTCCTGATAATTCCCAAAAAATCCCTTTTCAACTAAATCCGCCATTTCGGAAAATGGTGGCGAAACAAATCAAGCTTGCAAGGTTTTACAGAAAATGCTATAAATTCAAATTCATTTTACTTCATGAAAATACCATATTTATTAGTATTTCATCGTATTAATATGAAAATCATAGTCATATGTTGAATAATTGTAGCTTAAATATTATTTTTGTAACTTAATATATTGTGTCACGTTCATTCTTTTTTCATTTTACACCGTTAATATTCAAAACAGGTATATATATATATACTACCCATTTAGTATAATGTAGAGCTTTTAATTTCAAACAATACACATGCATACTTGCGACTCATTGTGATACTAAGCCAACAATCACGCGAATAATAAGAGTGAGAATGCACCGTGTAAGAGTAGAACCGTGGCAGCTCAGCTCCACGGTCAACCTACAGCAATCATCCGCAAACCACTGCCTAAATTGCAGTAAAATATGTGGAATATGTTGAATGATGTGCAATTTTATACAATTCATTATTAAACTTTGTCTTACCGTTAAAAATAATATGGTTCACTTTGAGTCTAATTGCCCCAAAATCCTGCAATAATCCATTAGGCTCAGAATAAATTCTCTTTACTTAATTTTTTTATATTTAATGTTGGACAAATAGAAAAAAATAAAAAAATGTAAATGTGAATACAGTAGAACCTCAATTACTCAAACCTTAATATCTCAAATTCTTCAATATCTCGATTTTTTTAATCCCCTTGAAAACCAGATTAATTATAATGTTAAAAGTACCTTAATAAGTCAAAGTTTCTAAATATTTAACCTCAATAAGTCGGAAGTTTAACAACTTTTGAACAGTAACATTCTACCTCTGTAACTCGAATTTTCCTGTCATCAAGCCTCAGTAACTTGAAGTTTACCTTTATAAGTCGAAGTTCGCACAAATGTGCCTCAATAATTCGAAGTTTTGCCTTAACAGTGCAAGTCAGTAGTGTTTTGATTCCTGTAGAGATGTGAAAATCCAACTTCCTGTGTTTGCTTCCTGTGTCTGTTTGGCTAGGTACAGTACTGTAGTCAGTGTAGTCTGCCAGTTGTTGAGATAGTTTTTACGTTGCATTTTGTTTAGTATTTTAATCACACTAGTACAGTACTGTATTTTCCCTTTAAATATTACTCTCTACATACTTTTTGTATGTACAGTATTGTACCTATTCAGTATTTTTGTTGTTACAGTAGCTTGTTTTTACAGTATATATAAAGAGACAGTAAATGTAGTTCCGTGTATGGATGATATACTGTATACTGTATTATTGTTTTGTATTTTGTACAGTATTTAAAATTTTTTTTTGTTATTTAACATGTTTTGTATGTACTTTATCAAAATTATTTCCAAATAATAAATACAGTACTTTATGTGCATTAAAATTGTTTTATTTTACTTCCAAAGTTACTCTTCAGTACGTATAAATATAGTTTAAGTTCAATTTATAAAGCCCTTGATAACTTGAATTTTTATAATAACCCCTTCATATTCAAGATATTGAGGTCCTACTGTATGACATAAAACTACGTTTGTAGTATAAATAGTAGAGCTGGCCCCGTGGTCGAAAACTCAACCAAAAGTATGTATTCTGCATATTTCCCTATTTTCACCCCACGCTGTAAATAAAACATGTGATTGGAATTTCTTCTGATTTTTATTTTCTGTTTATATTTTTTTGTAATTTCGTCACCAACGTGGCAACCCATATAAGGCCCATGTTAATTTTTTTTAAATTTTAAATCAATTTTTTGTGCTTATTTTAATGGGATTCTGCACATCTACAGGCAAATATCTTTCTAACAGTATGCGTAGATTTTCACTGCAATGCACAGGAGCTGAGAAAAAAGGCTTTAAAAAACATGCTTGTCTATTAATATTATTAGCCCCATGTTAAATCTCCATGAGATGTTGAATTTCTTCAAATATACATCTTAAAAATACAAATACAACCTGCAAATAATTATAGGACCGATAACCTTTCTTTTGGTACAACCCGCGTGTAATTCGGTCCAGTAGTATGGTCAGGCTAGCTGTCTTAACCCTTCCCAAGCGTTAGACGTATATATACGTTCGGCTATATTGCCCGTTACGAGCGTTTAACGCATATATACGTTAAGTGATTCCACGCTTATGAGCGTTTAACGAACATATACGTCAAAACATGCAAACATAATATAGCGGTCAGAAAGTTGTTTCTATATTATTTCTTATACCGTATATTGTATTTTGTTAATTTTTACGGTAAATTTCATTTCGTCAGGTGGCAACACTGTTTTAGCATCAGCTGTGAGTTATTTCGTGCGAGGTGGCTGATGCAATACTTTGTCGTTGTTACTAAAGCTGTCTGTTTACTGCAGTGGGAGGTTATGTGAACGAAGTATGTTTGTGTAACTGTTTGTGTGCGTGATTTATGAAGTATGGCTTTCAAACCAAGTGATACACATTTTGTAGACTACCATACTAAAATGGACTTTTGAAACCAACCTGTAAATATGTAAACTAATCTAATGCTTTTTACTTTTGTACCAATAATTATATTTTGATGATTTTGTATATATATATTTTTTTATTTCACCCATTTTTTTAGCTATATTTACGACATTATTACTAATAATAGCATATAATTGTAATTTATTACAAATAAGTAGGTTTTTTGATTAAAATTTTACAAGCGAAGGACTAATATATACGTAACAGCGCTCATAGCGTGTGACTCATAGCAAGCGTTTGACGTATATAATCGTCATGCTAATTATCATCATAAAAGTCATAAAAAAATTATTTCTTTTATTAAAGTCAAAATAATGGCCTTCTGTTATTAATTAAAAGTAAAAAAACATACTTTTTTCAAAATCTATTTTTTGACCCCAACCACTTACTGAGTTCGCATACTGAATAGGGCTTCGCCAGCCGGCCGCCGCTTGGGAAGGGTTAAGCTTTAAATGTTGGCCCCATGTCAAGTCTCCATAAGAAAAGTTTAATTTTATATAGGTTCCTATAGGTTGCCCCGTTGTCGAAAACTCGACCAAAAGTATGTAATGTACAGACTCCTCTATTTTTACCCCACACTGTGTTTAAAACATGTGATTGGAATTTGTTTAGATTTTCTGTTTATATTTTGTTGTTATTTGGTCACCATCGGCAACCCATAAGACCCATGTTAATTTTTTTGAAATTTCAAATTCGTTTTTCGTTCTTATTTTTGAGGCTATTTTAATTTATAAAGGGATTCTGCACATCTACTGGTAAATATCTTTCATTTGGTACCAACCGCGTGTAATTCGGTCCAGTAGTATGGCCAGGCTAGCTGTCATAAGTTTTGCAAAAGTTTTTTTTAGTATATAAGATAAGAATAAGTCATGTTAAATCCATTGATCTTTAATACAATAATTAATTTATGGCGAATAATGTGAATTTTATACAATAATGTGTTTAAAAAATAATAATCTGGTAGTTAAAATAATAATGATCTGGTAATTGAGATCATATTACCAGATAAGACTGGGACGCATCACTGGCTGTGTATTTTAACTAGAATACGAGTGTGGGATTGATGATATATGATAGTATGTTATTGTTGAGATAGGCCTACATGTAAAATACGACAACTGACTTTCAATTTATAGGATTGGACAAGTTTTTAATTTATAGGATACCGTTAAGAGTATATAAATGAAGTGATTATAGAAAGAGTTTTATTTACCTGTAATTGATGATGTCATGTGCTGTTCAAAGTGTTTAAGAGTATCTTACTAATATTATAAATCTGAAAGTTTGTGAGTTTGTGTGTGTGTTTGTTTGTGTGTTGCTCAATCACGCA